TCATATTTATCCTTTTGTAACTTGGAAACTACATGTTTCTTTATCTAATGATAATAGGATACTTTTTTTGCCTGATCAAGACTTCAGAACACATTGTTGACGTCACTCTACTTACTTTATTTTGGAAGATTTTGCAAATTAAGTTAGATTTTGCTTATTACTGATATCCAATATTTTGTAGCTTACAAACAATGCATATCTATTTGTTCATCGAATACATTTTTATTTGTCTTTATTCAAAAAATGCACTGCTAGAGTTTGATGACGACTTTATTCTGTGACACGCAGTGCAGAGAGGGATTATTCAAGAAATAAGGCTAAATTCATTCAGGAAGCTTTAAAATATGGCACTCAGGTATTATAACAAAATGTCATTCGGATGATCCAAATCAACGGAAATTGCTTAGTTCGTTTTTTTTTTTTTTTTTTTTTTTTTTTTATTTATATTTTTTATTTATTTATTTACGGCAAAGCAAGCGAGGGCTACTTGCCTAAGCGAAGGGATGCCTTCGTAAAGGATTTTGTAACAGAAACTGGATCATATCCACGTTACACATGGAGAAAACCACGAAAACGCCCATGTAACCAGGCTGTTTGCCGGGATATGAACTCGGGTCGAACTACCAATACTCAGCGTCTTTATCGCTTGGCCACTGGATGGACCCAAATGAAATTTATGGGACTTGAGAATTCAAAGTATTTGAACATCCGATTCTTAGTTTCCTTCTTCTTAAACTGAGCATTACTCATAGATACTCATAGACAGTATATACGCAAGGCGAATTGCATCGGATAGTGTTAACGACTATTGCAGCCAGGTCTCGTTCCTATTTAGAAATAAGTATGGATGTTTGTAGTGATATAATAATTTTGTATATGTAAGATATCTCACATTTGCATGGGACAAAAGACAATATGAGAGCTTAAAATCAAGAAAAGATGCGCTCGGATTTTATCCTTAGAAGGTTCTATATAAAAACTTTACTAATAATATGTTACACTACACTAACAGCTCAACTTGAGTTCACACTGTCAAATCATATTTTGAAGGATATAAATCTCCACACAATTTGCGACATGAAAAGTTCAGTTGCAACTATTAGTAAAAACTTGAACTCAAATTTTTGCCAATAATTACAGCTGAAAACACCCTTCTCTGTGACAAAGCTTTAGATAAAAACGTACAATTTATTAAAATCTGTACTAATTTATGAGAAATTTCCTTTAACTGTACTTATACCACAATGAGTTATTTCACCACACAACAACAAAATCAAAATTGTTATTGACAACAAAAAATCAAAATAGTCAAATCCTTAAGATATCTTGGGATTACAATAGATAATAAACTTAACTTCATTGAGCACCTACAGCAAATTAAGAAGAAAACCTCCAGTATATCTAACAACCTGAAAAGAATGCAAGGTGTCGGATGGGGCTTAAACCCCCAGATACAAAAGCTGTTGTAAAACACTGTTATAGAAAAGGTAGCACTGTATGGTGCAGCGATACGGCGTCACCAATGACGGTGAGAAAACAAAAGCAACTTCAATCCATCCAAAAGCCCTTTCTTTTAAATTATTCGCGTGCTTACAGAACAACCTCAAATTGTGCACTGTTTCAGCTCACCAACAGCATCCCCCTATTCTTAGTTGCGGAGCAGGAACATACAAAGGCTTCATCTTCAGCTAAGAAAAGACTGCAAAATTAAAAATGAGATAGTAGCTGCCAGTTCCTACACCTCACCGACTCATCCATATGAAAGACACCCAGCTAGCCGAAATAATATGACACTATGCATAAGGCAGAATAGATACCAAGCATTATATCCAAAGATCTACACTGATGATTCTGGCAAAAACAACGGAAAAGGATGTGCTATAAAAATATATCTCAGTGACCATGAAACAAAAGACTTCAAGTTCCAACTTGACAATGAGAATAGCGTTTTTCAGTCGGAAATGTTTGCGATTTTGCACGCAATCAACGTAAGCACACACCATCACTTTCCAAGGACTTTTATCTATACAGATTGTCTCTCGGCAATGCATGCACTCGCGAACCCAAATAATAGATCACCATTAGCTCAGGAAATTCTTAGAAAGTCCTCCAATGCCCAAGGCCAACACTTCTTTATAATCTGGATCAAGGCCCATGTTGGTCACAAGGGAAACGAAGAGGCTGACGTATTAGCCAAGGAGGCAGCGCAAGGAATCAATGCCAAGAAAATAAGCATTCCCTGGCCAGCTTCTCACCTCAAACTAAAACTTCAGATCACATCTAAAGACTTATGGCAACAATGGTGGGACGGTGCAAATACAGGCAGAAGAGTTTACAACCTCTTCCCTAAAGTTGACTCTCCTCCAATCCATCTCTAAGACATATCACATGGTTTATCACGGGATATGGTCCCTTTTCCACGTACGTCTATGCAAGAAATCGCTCTTCATCAGACTCCTGTGCATGTGGTGAAAAGGTTCACCCCGAGCATTATCTATTTTCCTGCCCGTTTACAGATTCCCTTCATCTAAAGAAGCCAAATTCAGAAGAGGATTTATTCTCATTTCTAAGATATGCAGTCAAGAATAAGCACTTGAGGAATAAAATTACGAAGGTTATTGACTTTTTGGCAGCTAGAAGTCAAGAGCTATGTAGTGTAATTTAACCTTCAAAGAAATGCTCCAGCAATAGCAAAACAAAGCAATTAAATGCATATATAATGTACACGGGCATACCTTTATATGAAGAAATAAGCATCGCAAACCATATGAAGCACAAAATAGGTCACTCACAAGTAGGGTAAGGGGCTCCTATCTGTTTACTTCAGGTAAATGGTAATACATGACCCCTACATTTATATGTAACATAAGATCACCAATTACTTGATAAGTGAACACATATAATAAATAGCCAACTCTGAGTTGGTAAGGTATCAACAATGCAATGTATCATAGAATGTAATTCATGTAAATTAATTATTGTAAAAACACATGTACTTGCATACAATGAACTGACAAATGTAAGTTGGCAATGTATCAGCATATGTATGCAGATATATCTAAAAGTATGTAGTACGCATAAGTGTGCAGATGCTCTTTTTTTTCTTCTGTTTTCAGACTTATTTATTTATGTCTTTTTTATTATTTTATATTCTTCTCAAACTTTGACAGCTGTTTGTAAAACAAATTACGTAAACAAGTCATGGTTGTAGGCATGATCTATACACTAGATATAAATTGTTTCTAGCCACCACAATTTATAATCTCATGATCAATTTTTAGAAGCAAATAACAATGTACTGCTAGACAATAATATAATTTCTGAAAATCAATTAACATAAAAACGTACGTTAAAGAAAATAATGAATCGTCAAAATTGAACTGTTAAAGTTTCAGCACAACTTTACAACAGTACTTAAATAATGTAATTTACAATGTAAGCTTTGTAAACAATTTTATAGTTCTTAATTAATTCTGATAGTAAACAGATCATGTTTACAAAAATGATTTGTAACGTGGGAACAACATGCCTGTTTCTAATGCAAAATATAATGTCCTGAAACATGTTGCCTGTACCCACTACAATAGATAACATCTTGAAATATGCACCTGCACAACTATGTATATCGCAAAATATATATCATGTAATTTATTCCCTTTTACTTGAGCTAATTTAACGCTGAAAGGTTAGGAGTACCGTTGATGCCGCCGCCGGTGGCAGTACTTGTAGTGCTCACTGGAGTCACAATTTCCATCACGACTCGAGGAATTATTCCAGAATGTTGTTAGTTTTCTAGTTAGTGTGTGGGGCTAATACCTGCTTACTTAGGGTAAATATTAGGAGGCCCCCCTCACTTCTACATAACATATGAGTTATTTTATTTTATTCTGTATTAACTATAGAATCAAATGTAGAGGAGAAAAATTAAGGAACTGAAAAAAATCCTTACTAATTAAAGACTTGTAAGCATAAATTGCATTTATAAAATACGTTTGATTTCGACATTTAATTCAAAAATGATTAAAACCTCTTTATTTATGTTTGATGGTATAACCATTCATTGTTTATCAAAAAGCATTCCATCAAAAATATTAAGCAGACAGTCTTTCAAAATGTGAAACTGAGGACAATTTTAATTAATTTTGTTAAATTATGAATGTTGAAACGAAATAATTGAGATAGCAATGTTCTTTTTTGAAACATTTTCTCTTCAACAAACAAATCTTATTTTATTTTAAGATGCGATACTTTTCTAATAATCTGGTTTTTGCATTTGAAATTGTGGACTTTTGCTGAAAATATATTTTCATATTTTTAAAGCTGCATAATTTATAAAATTTTTAAAGATGTGATACTTTTCCAATATCCTGGTTTTTGTTTTTGAAACTGGACAGCTGCATAACTTATAAAATTTTTATAATTTTGTCTGTGATTCATTTTATTATACTGTTTAATTTATACAAATATTTTAAACTAAGTTGGTGAAATGCAATTTTTGTTCCAAATCCAGAATGCTAAATTTTTAGACTATTTCCCTGAAAACCTATCTCCGTTTTCAAATTTGTGTAAAATTATCTTCGATAAAAAAGTACTTAATATTATCATTTAATTAATTCAAGTGCTGAATAAATTTAATATGGAATTTATTTCCGTTATCTATTATATTCACATTTTCTCGCTTTATGCCAGTACTTAATCCATACTCGAATGATACCTTTTTCTTTTAAAAGCAAATAACAAATCTGATAATGAAATATACAAAATTCAAATCAATAAATTCATTTACCCAAATTTCAAAATAAATAACTTTCTACGCATTTGTTCACGGTAATTAAACTGCGGTCAGTATTTTTCGAGATGTATACTGGACGAGAATTTATCTTACACATCTCGTCAAATATATTTAATCGTACGCTTGTGTATTTTGTTGGAAGATTTTAACTACAATAATAAAGAATGTTGTAGGTATAAAATATAGAGAATCATTTAAACAAAACGAATTCAAACAAAAAACTTTTATTTTACATAAGAAGCAAACACATTTTTTTTACAAATACATGCGATTTATGTACAAAATACAAAGTTATGGGATACTGAAACTCTTAAGATATATTTAGTTTTTTGTACAATAATACATCCATTACTGATCCTGAAAAATAAGTCAGTGATGAAATTTAATAAAAATAATTACATATTTACATAGATATCCAATTATATACATAAGCTCAGATTTGTGTTTATATATTTTTTTCGTCCAATTTATTTACATTACATATTTTACAAATTTTCGCGATTATATTGCCTATAGGAGAAAAAGTAAAATGTTCATATCATTTGACCGCAAATTTTTTAAGAAAAATCTTTTATACTAGATTAACGAGTTTTTTAATAAGGTTTGATAAACAATCTTTTAATTATTTTCAATAATTTGCAATATTTCAAGCAAAATCTTAATGTATAAAGCAATTTGGAAACTGCAGTAATATATATTTCATTAATTATTCAAAACAGAAGCGTAAAAAATTATTAAAAAATTGTTTCGAAGCAAGAAACACACAAAATGAAAAGACAAAATCTCCTTATGGTCGACGATTCAATGCTATACTACATAAGCAAAGCATAAAGATATATAAAATGTGCGCTTCAATTTCCTGTCATCTTTCCAGTCAGGATATATACTTTAAGCTCTGGGCACACATATTGGCTCATGTCCTACCCATTGTCCTCGACTGCAATAAAGTTCGGTGAATCTAGGATCCAACATGGTGAATTCAGGATCGCAACGATAAACGGCAGATAAGTAATGATTGTTAGGAGGATTAGGATTTTGTCGTCTATCATATCGGGCAACGTGCGCATTAGGAAGTTTTGGAGCTCTTACAAAACTTGAATGAGCCTGGTTGCATGAGTAGTCGTAAGTGCGAACTGGGTCTTGCAGAACCACTGAAAAAAATATATAGAAAATTATTATACTGTAACTGAGGATTAAGAGCTTAGGTTTTTCACAACAGAAAAATTCAAAGTCATGTTTTTGATTTTTGCTCGGAACTAGAAACATTTAGATTATTCTATGTTAAATTTATTATTATACAACTAAGAAGACCTCCTTGGATCAATGATTGTCTGAAAATGACTTGCAAATACCAAATATTTTTTTTAAAATTTGCGTTAACAATTATAAGATTTTAACGTCTTTTACTACTGAAAAGTATGACTCAACCTTTTGGTACACTTAAAGCAAATTATCGCTTAATCTAAGATTAACGTACAGAAACTTTAGAAGTTTATAAAAGGCCATTTTATTTTAAACTAAAATAAATGAAAAAAAGGCACACCCGGTGCTCACAAAGTCCGCTAGCACTTATGGATAGAAACTTAAGGTATAAATTCAAATTTAGAACTAAATTTAATTAGATAATAGCCAAAGGCTACACAGAACATTTTAATCGCGAAGTTGGTTCGGAATACAGCGGCGTGAATTTAACTATCTGCAAGTAGCAACGTCGAAGACAGGAACTCGTATCCTTAATAGCTGAACTAGTAATTTGGCCTTCAAACGGCAGAACACATTCTGACCTAACGATGGTGTGGTGTATTTAATTACGGCAAAGCACACTAGGGCTATCTGCCTAAGGGGAGGGATGCCTTCGTGGAGGACTTTCTAAGGGAAAATGGCTCGTATACACGTTACACATGGGGAAAACCACGAAAACACCCATGCAGCCAGCCCGTTCGCGGGATTCGAACCTCGAACCGAACTACCAGTGTTCAGCGACTTTACCGCTCGGCCGCTGGTGGGCTCTGACCTAACGATCACCCTCACTTTAGCTCGCGTGTAGTTGAATTCATTTGCACTCTGGCCACAAAAAGAAAAAGCAGAAATGACTGTGAAGATTCCAAAAATACAATAATTGTAGAGTAAATTAAATAAACCTCAATCATACAATAATACAATGAGAAATTAAGAAACTTACAAACTCACACGGGGTCTCAACAAATGTTAGCCATTTGATTACGTGACTACAGTTTTTAACAAACCAATTTGAGCTATTGGTTTTAATAATTATTTGTATTTATCTCAACAAGGAATGGCAACGACTGACTAAGTTGATATACGTTCCTTTCTAAAATAGTTTCGAATAACAATAACATTGGTTAATAGACAGATCTATCGGAAAATCTTTTTTTTTAATGCTTAACTACACAATATTAAAACAAATTACACAAAACAGTTTTTATTCTATCTCGCAAATCGAAATGAATATAGCAATTAATGTATATATATATATATTATAAGATTACAGTTTGCTTAGGAAAATTTTTAAAAATAATGTTAATTGAGGAAAAATATACTTTCGATTTTTCTGTTTACCAAAGTAAGTAATAAAATTTCAATTCTCAAAAAACGTTATTGCCGAATTAACTATCTGGTGAATTTCATACTTAAAAATATGCTTTACTAAATAATTATTTTTACACATCACAATATTTCAAATAAATGGAGTCAAGTTCAAAATTCATTGCTCCTATCTTTGTGCTTCATACCAGAAGTCTACGAAAATATTTAAAATTACACTTAAATGAATAACTTGTGAAATAAATTAATATGATTGATAACTAAGAAACTATAATGAAAAATATTATATATTAGAAATGATTTTTGAGCTTTTTCGTACACCCAGTTTCTCTTTAGGAGTAAATTTAAAACATGCGAAAAAAATTTCTACAATAGTTTTTTATTCTGTATACAGAAGAGAATAGTCTAAGAAAATATTGAAATAAAAAACTTTCCCGCGTGACGAATTTCCTACAAAGCGACAGGTTTGTTTTTCTTTTAGAAAAGAATCTTAAATGTTCTTGGTCAATGGATTTACTTTTAAGCATTAAAATACAAAATTTGACGTTAACGAAACAACTTACGGGACACTGGCTGTCTAAGATGAACTGGTGCGTAATACAAGTTGTAAGTGTCGTCATATCGCCTCAAGAAAGCTTGAGCTCTTGCTCCTTCTACTGCTTCTTCAGCGCGCATCACGTAAAGGTCTTTCAAGTACTGGTCACGAAGATCTGGGTGCAGGCTGTTGATCCAATTAATCTGAGACTCACTTAAAGTCATTACGACAGGAGTGCCACTTCGATATTCAACCAGAGACGCTTGTCTAGGGTAATTGTAATTAGCTAAGTAGTACATGTGCCTTAAAGTTTCTTCAGCTTGGTGACCTTTATCATCCTGGAAGAAAATTACGCGTAATAATATTACCATTATTTCTTTAATTGTAATCAAATTTCTTTTCGTATGTGTAAATAACTTCATTTTTAAATATGCATTATTTTAACAAGTAAGAAAACTTTTAATTGCTCACCAGGCATGAAGTCTATAAAATAAGACTGATTCTAACTAGAATGAATTAGCAAATCCCTGTATCTCTTGCTACAGATATAAGTTAAGATTAATTTTTGACGTGAAATATTTATGACGATAAATTGGGTATAATTCCATATTCGATAACTTCTAAGTATTTAATTTCTGATTGATTTGCAACTGTTCGTTACTTCGAAATGATCAAAAGTATTGATAAAATAATTTAAGAATATTTCTTAAATTTAAAAATAAATATGACATTTCTAAATCAAAATATATTGGATTTTAAAAATATGTGAAATCTTAAATTAAGATTTATACATAAATGAATCTAAGTATCATAAAGTGTTTCAATAAATTTAGACAGAAAATTACCCCTAAACTGGAAAAATTATTGTAAACAAAGTTAGAATGAATTTTTCCTTATTAAAGTAACGAATTATGACGTATAATAAATTGTGAATAGAAAAATCTAAAAATATTATTAATTTAAGGAGATTAATTACAAAAAGGCTATCTCCTTAAATTAATATATTAACACAGTTCGTAGGGATCATTAGAATTTTTAGGTAACTTAAAAAATCGACTATGACCTCATTAGCATTAGTTCCATGAGTCTTTCAAACTACTAACTCGACATAAAATCGAGACTATGAATCGGGGGGAGTAGTGGGATAGTTATTGTTTATACTTCTCTTACTTAAAAGGCGAGTCGGAATAATAATGTGATTCAATCGATCAAATAACAATTCGTTATTCACCTCATTTTAAAGTTCGTGCGTTACTGTCGAGATCATTAGATAGGAAACTTGAAAAACCAACTCTGCCATAACAGGAATTTAAACTTTAAACCACGAATCTTTCAGTTGCTAGTTGGGTAGCTGCAATGTTTCCCTTGTTGCATGTTTTTTCATATTTGTATATGGTTTAGTTTTGAGGTAATGTTTATCATCTTATAAAGTTTATTCCTTACTGGGCGGCTCCGAGACGCAAGTTATATTACGTAACTCAAATCTATGTGGTTATTAGTAATGTGTAGCAAAGACACGTAAAAATAGTATTGTATAATTAATTAAAGTAGTTCAAAATGCCTTCAAATCAGTTAGTTACATAAATTATGTTACACATCAACTGAAGATGAAAGCTATTTCAGCAGAATAAGAAATAAATGATAGATAAATAAATTCTCGCCCATAAAAAAAGTCGTAAAATTGCAATGTTTTTACTACATAAGACTGCTCTTGTAAACAGGATTTTGTCATGTGCAATAAGTAAAATACGAAAGCAACTTTTTAAAATTTAATATATAATCCTTCATTAACTTTAAAGGGTTCGACTTTCTTTGAAAGCATAGAACTATAGCATCAAACTCCTAACAGACATTAAGCAAATTATCGCTGTTTCTGAAATAAAATGCTGAGTCTTGAAAAAGTTCAAAACAAACTTTTTTGTTTAAATCTGGACTTGAACATAAAAGCACGTCTTGGTCTTAAAAAAACAACCATTACTTGATGAAATGAAACTAAAGTAACAGTCAAATTTAAATTAAAACTTATTGAAGTCAGTAGTCAAGGACTGCACGATTTTATTTAAATGCAAGTTGGCTCAAAATTTTTTACCAGCATATCAATTTAAATGATGGCCACTAAAACGCGGAGCCGAATAATTTCAATCTGGCAGAAACACGCTGTGTCTTACAATCCAAAAACCTGGCTTAAATACTCTCTACCTCATTTACATTTCTGCTGAGGAAACGGATTGGAGCGGTTACAGTAGAAGCTGAAATTATAAATAACTGGTTAATTTAAATAATAAATGCTACAACTTCTCAAGGGAAAAGATGAAAATGGCCATAGACTTCGCGAGAAAATCTGAAGGCGTATTTGCCTGTTTTCGAAGAAGCTTTTTTTCCATGAATTATATTTTAAAATTTTATGTCTCTTGTATAAAATCGCTTCTAAATATAAAACAATGATATCGTAATATTAGATGAAGTGTTCACTGCAATTTGATAATGTAGCGAACTAAATTTTAAACTGAGTTTGTTTTTAATCTTTAATTTATTATTTCATGTTAAGATGGACAGATTTGCACTCAAAAGTCTGTCCAAATTCTATGTCTTTTTGCATTACGTTTTTTTCTCATCATTTCAGTTATCACTGTTATATATTTGATATAAAATATCTTCTAAAACAAATGCACCGTTTCATCAGATTGAATACGAACTAAATTTATAATTTTATACAAACCTGAGATACAGCAGCCCTAGGCAAAGCAACGATCTGTAGGTGATCACCATTGTCAGTGTTGTCCACTCTCATATGCACAGCAGCAGTGCGATATTGTTGATTAAGGGCTTGCTCTTGTTTCGTTATTTTACCTGGAGAAACAGTTCGCCTCACATACACAACGGACGGTGGTGATTCTAAATGTATTGTTGTTGAAGTCTCTGTAGAGAAAATGCGATAAATTTAATAGCTTGAATTTCTAAAGTTGTATGATTTAAAAAAAAAAAAATAAAAGTAGACGTTTTGATAGCATAAAAATGGAAAAGTGGTATTGCAGCAAGAAGGGATGAGTCCAGAAAATCTACTTATTTTTAGAGGAACTGCAACTAAAATTGCAACTTGCACATTTACAATTCATTCTTTTGCTTTAAATGAAATACTGTGTTTCTTCGAAGCTAAACAATACATTTTATCATCGCCAAAATTGGGCTTAAAATCGATAGAATATTAAAATAGTAGGGGTTTTTTTTCGAATTATTAATTATTCCGAAATAATATATTTTTTTCAAATTATAAATTTAAATGGGAATAATATTATTGCTAACAAATCAAAGTTAATTATTAAAATTATGTACTGGTTCTAGATTAGAGTTATATTTTATTGTTCTCATTTTCATAGAATCAAAGTCTTTCTCTGTCCGTTCATTGAAATTAAAAACTATTCTTAAATTTTAAAATGTCAATAATCAAAGAAATATAATAATTGCATTAGGTGTTTACTAAATTATGTTTATGAAGATATTTTGTTATTAGAAAAGTGACTACAATGATTACTTTCTTGAAAGTAGTACGGGAAAATAGTCGTTGCTAAAACTTGCATTTTTGAAATGGAACCTTTTCTAAGAGGCAGGCCCTAGGCTAAGAGATTTCTCTTAGATTTCCTATCTCAATTTTATATATAAAAAACTGTAAGAATGTGAACTAGAAACTAGAAAATTAGGATATTAAGTTTTGAAGTTAATAGCTTACAAAATGCATTGTATTCCATTTTGAAAATAGTTAATTACAAGTTCCAAATTACTTATAATGAGATAATAATTTTTTTATCTTAAAATAAATTTAAACTTTTCAGAATACTAAAGAAGAGAAAACAACATATTAAGAAAAATGTATGCATTTTTTATATTGCACACATGTGAATAAATTCTATCGCTAATGTTTTCGAAATTTTCAGAGTTACTTATTATTTTTAGTATGGAATAGTAATTAATAGTTATTATATGATAGTTACTTATAAGGTATTTTCGCCCTCTTTCCAGAATACCTTCCTGGTGTAACGGTAGCACACTCGGTGCATAGTTGAAAGGTCTAAGTTCCGAGTCCCGGTGAGGGCATTTCACATTTTTTCACGTCTGCTGCTTCAAAATAACTTAATGACTCTACATATTTCTGAAAAGTAGTTAACATTTTTTAACGCTTAGGAATAAACACTATTTGTTGTCTCAAATACAGTTTCGAAAACAGATAAATTTTATTTACGTAGATTACATAAATTACCAGGTTTTCTAAATTTACAAGATATCATTGCGAGTATCTGTTAAAATTTCAGTTAAGCTATTCTAACGATTTTTAAATCGTGCAACATGCATATTACCTCTTAAATATGCGAATAAAAGAAGAAGCTTATGTTTACTTCGTAAATTATTTTATTTACTTTCATGGTTAGGAAGGTTAGAGAAAAATGTGAGTTAAACAACCCTTCCAAAGAAGTGAGATCTTATTAAATTAAAAAAAAATAATTGGTTAATGTTTAGAACTCCTCTGCCAAACCTGAAGTGTTTTTATTTAAAATACGGCGTCATATATTACTGCTTTCATTAAGCGAAATGTAGAGCGGAAAACTGTATCATCGGCTGAAATGAAATCTGCATACTAAGATCAGATTGTATTTCGGTTTAAGCTTATGATTTTTACATTTTATTTTTGCATTCTTTTTAAAACTTTTGTGAGTTTTTAAAACTTTTAAAACTTTTTGTAATTTGGTAAATTATGTGAGATAATTGATCTTACGGTAAATTATGTGAGATTCGAGTGAGGAAACTTAATCCGACGTTTTCGGACTGAAATGTTTAATAAATTTTTTGTAACAGCAGATTTTGGTCGAAAATAAATTAAATCAATTTACTTTTTACTTGCACTTTCATTAGTTTCGTAAATTTAATTTTACTGGCAAAATGTTTTAATTTCATCGAAATGTCGACTATAATCCTGGAAATCTAATCAAGTGGAAGACAAATAGCTGTAAAATAAAAATTATAAAATTTAGTCTTCTTTGCTAGCATAAACTAAGGCCAGCGCTTCGTCTGAACAGAACTACGAAATCCTACGAAGTTTTTAATACAAACCTTTTTATTAAATCAGAACTGGAACATAAATGCACGACTCGTGGTTACAAATCAGACAATCATTTGTGGCGATGCAACTTAAGTAAAAGTAAATTGTAATTTAAAACTCAGTCTAGCAGCAAAGGGCTACACAAATGATTTAATACGCATTAAATATACAAATGATATGGTTGGCTCAAACTTCTCACTGGCGTAACAATTTAAATGTCGGCAACTATAATACAAAGATGGGTTTAATCCTAGTATACGTTACACACGGGATTTGGCATCATTATGATAACCAGTAAACGCAGTATTTATGATGAGCAGTAAATGAGTCATTTTGGTGCTGGCGACAATTTTCAAAATCGCACCAAGGTCGTACCGTATACTAGGATTTTACCCAAAGCCGATGAATACAATCTAATCTCAACCAGCTAGCTTAGGAATGTGGCCTCGAGAGATACAAACATGCTCTGTCCTAGAATCTAACAACCTCAGCTTAAATACTCAATCTAACTTGCGTTCTGGCGAGGAAACGGAGGGAAGTATTGAACGTAAAGATCCAAATAACTGGTAAAGTAACTGGTTAATGAAAAAAATACTAACCTTACAAAGTTAATATCCAAAAATTATAAATAATTAATGAAATTACGGCAACTTAACACTGCAAGTTGTTATCTTTGAGAAAACGTAGTATTGAAAAACATATTATTTAGGTTTGTACCTTGTTATAAACATTTAAAGCTAATGCTTCGGAAGAAATTAAAAATTAGCTTACTTTTCTCTTCTCTTTGGGAACGTTTCTTTTCTTCTTCTTCCAACTCCGTTGCGCTGTGCAATCGAGCTGTTCTGTAGCGAGTAATAACTCGCCCTCTGCGACGAGGATAAATCACCATACGCATACGAGCTTCGTCACTCATTGGCATTTCTTCTGCGGTCGAATTCTTCTCAGTATCTGAATCTTTATTTTCAGAGTCACTTCCCCAGCTAAACAAAGGTCTCGTTGGGAAAACTGGAGGCAAAGCATTTTTACCACTCAAATCTTCTCCTGCTTGATCAGAGCTCTCTAAAATTTCAAGAAGTTAGATATTTTTTAAAATAAAATATGACGAGTAGAAGTAAAAGTAATACTAAAGATAAAATCAAACTGTGTCATGTTAAAAAAACTTTATCTTGAAGTAAAATAAGACTAATCATTTCAGGCAAGACAGTGAAAAACAATCGTATAATTAAAGGCAAAAGCAAATTTATTTTATGTTAAAGAACTTTATTTCCATTTAGAACTTATTATAACAGTATATAGTAACAAATCAGCTTCTTCCAAGTAAGGCAATAGAAATCAATAATTCGACTCCATATTAGCAAATGAAAATCAAAACTACGAATTATAAATCTTAATAAATGAGCTACACTGCTAAATTTGCTTAATTATAACTTGATATTTATTGTTGTCCGAGCGACAGGAAATCGAAAAAAGGAAATAAATAATAAAAACTCTATAAATGCTTTACAAAATATGAAAAAGATGACAAAACAAATTCCAAATTTGGGCTTCCAGATGCTCATATTCGAGTGGAGACGTACGTTTTTCAAATTTTGATGTTTCCAGGTACTGTTGTTTTACCACCATGCGAGAAGCATACATACATTTATGCAGATTCTTCATTATTTAATTTCTTTAAATATAATACAGGGCTATAATATTTGGTGGCAACAATTTAAAAAGTGATTAGCCCTTTATAGTGAATCAACGCAAAATTCCAAAACGAAATTAATTTAAATTAAAACTTCTGGGCCAATTGCCCCTTTGGGCTAATAATAATAATAATAAAAATAAAAATAAAAAAAAAAAACTTTCAATTTTATATTACGCTCAAAGGGGCGTTTATTCAACGTTTTGTATGTTACCTTTATTTATTAAATATCATGCTCTTCGCACTCAAACCATAAAATTCAATTCAACAGCAATATCACAAATTAATTTTAAAAGAGCACATCTTAAGAATTTCCGATACAGTCTCGCGCGCTGGAGGTAAAAAATATTTTTTCCCTGTGTTGTCAGCGCTCACTTTGAAAATATGAAATAGATAATAAAACAAATTCCATATTCCAAATTTGGGACTCCAGATGCCTATATTCGAATGGAGGACAACGTTATTCAAAATTTGATGTCTCTGGGTACCGTTGTTTTTTCACAGTGCGAGAAACATACATATATTCATGAAGATTCTTTACTATTTTATTTCTTTAAATACAATGCAGGGGTCTAATATTTGTAGGTAACAATTTGAAAAGTGAAACGCTGTTTATAGTGAGCCAAAACGATATTATTTACTCCAAAATGCCAAAACGATATTATTTGCTCTTCATAATCACACCAAACACATTAATTATTCCGGTTTTAAGCCGAAAGACCATTTTTGAACCACAAAATAAGTATAAAAAAAAAAAAAAAAAAAAAAAAAAAAAAAAAAAAAAAAGAAAGATAGCTTACAATCGGATAAATCTGATAGTTATTATAAATGATCTGTAATTTTTAAATGTACACAGTATTTTAATTTTAAATGCCTGTTCTAGTCACTTCATTTTTCGAATAGGTTTAGAAAATTAGTGATACTTTGTAGGTTAATATTGCCTAGTTAAAGTTAGCTTAATGAATTATGCTTCATCTACTGTTACGGACATGAACGCTTTCAAGTTGACACTATATAAGGGAAATCATGCCAAAAAAATTAAAATTATTGCGTTATATTTAATCGCACTTACTATCTGTTTCCACGCACATAGGTAAAGGATCCTCCCATTGACCATCAAGGCAACGAACAAGTTCTCTTCCTAAAAGTACGTAACCTGGCTCACATACATATTTCACGATGCTTCCATCTTGGTAAAGGAATGCTTGGCCATGTTCTGGAGATCTTGGAGCTGGGCAGTTTACAATTGGCTCTGCTGCAAGAGCTATAATAGGTGGGAAGAAATATAAAATTTAAAAAAAATTCTGTAAGACATGTAGTATATTTTAAGCATTATATGTAGTACATATATTATTAAGCAAAACGGCAATTATATTTTGTAATTGCCTCAAAATCTTCGAATCAAAAATCCAAAGGCGAAAATAATCGCAATTGAAATATACTGTCATTTTGATATAAAATATATTACATACCACAAATGCAAGTTTTTATTTCTTTTCAACGGAAAAATATTGGTAACAATGGCTAATGATAAATTATTAGTTTGCATAAAATTAAAATATAAGAAAATTTTATTGAAAAATACATTAAAAATGTTAAATAACTTCTGGTACTTCTGTATTATCCCGCTGGCCGGCTAAGCAGCGCGATTTAGACCCAATTCTATATAACCATTTGCTTTAGAATTCTGCAGTAACGACTGGCGACTGTTGCCGAAATTTCCACCAATGATTGGTAGGATAATACATAAGTACAGCAACTAGCTCAGGAGAATTTATTAAAATATTTTGGTAAATATGAGTTCAGTTCAAATAAATTTGTTAACTATTGAACAAATATAAAAGCATAAATACTTAGTAAAAAATGAAGTAAATGACCCTTATTATGTATATAAAACGGCGGACGTTTTATTCAAAATTCTGAGGAAATTTTAGAGTAAAATCATGCTGATTTTCAATGAAACGGAGAAGTGGGATTTAAAACTTACTTCAGTTACAGTAAAATATGTTGTTAGTTAGTAGAATTTTTAGTAAATTTTGCGTTATACTCGCTAGCGAAATTTTACTCGCTAACGGAAAATTAATATCAAGGCATGATTTCATTTCCACCATCTCAACATAGAAAATAAATAAATATTGTTACTTTTAATTTGTCTTTTCACAAGAAATGAACACAATATTTTCAGGAATACATATGTATGTAATGAAAACAAGAAAAAGACGGAGCAGTGTTGGTGCGTAATACCTAGTTAGGATAGATCGTAGATCCATATTGGAAGAGGAAGAATTCTGATTGCGTAGTATCCTAATAATGTTGACTTCGTAATATCTAAGAAACATGGCAGTCGAGGCAGTTCAAGTTTTAGTTCCCTTTTTCTCGACTGCTAAGTTTCTTAGATATTACGAAGTTAACAAATTAGCAAGCTACGCAAAAAGAATTCTTCCTCTTCCAATACGGATATCCAATATGGATAATAATATCTATCCTATCTAGGTAATGTGCATCAACACTGCTCCGTCTTTTTCTTGTTTTAATTCCATTTTTATTTGCAAATGACATTTGTGGCCACAGTTAATTTGGCAGTCTAGTCGTGCCTATTTAAGAACATTTACATTTTTGATATTATTGAGATAGGAAGCGAGCACAACGAAACAACGATCAAGCAGTACAGAATTTCGAGCTGAAAAGTGGCGCATTTATCCAATATGGGAGGCTGTTAAGAGAAAAGTTTTGGTTTAAGTTAGAAAAGTTTCAGTTCCCAAGAGTTACGTCATAGCGTTACATTGATCTAGAAAAGACGCAATCCAGATAAGTTATTACGATTTTTAGAATAGAGAGGGAGAAGTTAAAGGGTTACCGTAAGCTAAAATTACAATTTTGATTTACATATTTATCTTATACATATATATGATTAAAATAAACTCAGAAGTAACGACCAGCAGGAATTTTGGTGGCGTAGAAGTGTTATCCATAATGAATAATAAATTGGAGGCGAAGGCAGATTAAATCTTCCTTTTTTAATTTAACAAACATGTTACGGCCACAAACAAGTTGGCACATTAAATGTGCCTATTCCAAAAAGTTTACATTTTAGATAAATTTGCAGTAAGGAGTCTGCTGCAGTCCAGCTAGGCCAAAGTGCAGAAAGCAAGTGCTTTATGTTCAATATGGCACCCATAGTGATGATATGCATTTATCAAGAAATAAAATTATTTGTGGAATTTACGGCCAAATCATCTTTCTAACTAGTTTTCAAGCAACGCATTAAAATCTCTTCAAGTTATAATGCAGAGAACCATCGTAAATCCGTCAATCTTTCACCAAGTCAGCTTATCACAATAATGGATCAATTTTATTAATATATATGTAGTTTAAATTTTTATTTATGATTGCAAAACTAAGCTAATATCACTCTGCTGATCGGCAAGCGTGTATATTGCACTGATTTTCTGGAATAACATAGGTCAAATTTCCTCTTTGAACTTTCTCCACAATAAGTAACAGTTTCTCCACTGATCATATGCTTGACAGACTCAAATTACCAAACACAAGAGAGAAGAATAATGTTCACAGTTCACAGAATTATTTGAAAAATTTACAGTACTATTTTTGGGAAGGCATCAGAGCAGTTTGTTTAGGCGCTTTTTTTCGTTTGTGAACTGAAACTGAAAGCTCTTAGTTGAAATCTTTCAAAATAGACTATCAGTATTGTAAATGTGTTAAGAATCTAAGAAAAATTAAATATAATAGGTTGTTTAATTAGGTTTTCATGATTTTCATTCACTTTAGATGAGTTATGTTTTGTATAATATAGAAATTAAAGGAAAATTATCTCTCCTTCACACCACATATTAGTAAATCAATTAATATTATTTTATTTGATATTTCTTAAATTCGAATTAAACATTGAAAACTCAGTGTATTGGCTCTTTCCTCAGGTAAATGGTTTTACTAGTTTACCCTTAGATTTCATTGCTGATAGAACTTTTTAAATTTATTTAATTTTCATAATTTCTTTTCTTCTATTTAGGAAAACATACAGTTATTATCGAGAAAAAATATTCCATGTAGCTTTTAGTTTGACCTCCTCCCATTAACTCACACGCACTCTTTTACTAATGAATTCACTTACTAAACATAAATTGAATCTCATTTAGCAATTATTTAAAATTTTAACCTTATTTTCATTTAATTTCTTTAATTTCCACATGCAAAATTTACCAAAATTACAGAATTGACTTACAGTACCTATTTATATTCCGTAACAACTAATAATATATTTTAGTTGAAAAAGATTATTTTAAAATATTTTCCCATAAGCCAATAAGTAAAGTCAGAAGAAAACATTTTACTTTGGTAAAATGCTAATACTATAATAATGTTGTTAGCTAATTTTATGAATATTATAATATGTTTTCCTTACATCTGTAACACCGTGGATTGCTTAATTAGATTTCTATCCACTAATGCAATGTAGCAACCATTTTGAAATACAAAATGAAATGCGTATTCTTAAAAAAAAAATTCTTGCAAAGGGTCTAGGAAGAACAATGCTTCTCTTCGCTTTTAAAACTGAAACCCCGATTAATTTTAATTGGCTTATATCCACATTTGAATTTGTTTGAAGAGGTTGCATATGCCATAAGTCAGCTTCCAGTGCACAGAATTATTAGAAATTTTAATAGTACTAGCTTGTATTTGACTTTCCCGTTTTGCACTGTTACGGATTAAATTTGAAGCGTTATATTCTAAGATATTAACTTGGATTTTCGTCAGTATTAGAAGATTTTCTAAAATGAAGGCAGTTTGCCTAAAGCATACTTGCAAAACGAAAAGTTATTGCATTTACTACTTTAGCAAATTAAAATCATACAATTAATTCATTATAAAAACTGAAAGGAGGTAGAAATGTAGTTAATTTTGGATTCTTATGTATGACTAGAATGATATTTTGTTACATATTTACAAAATTTCATTTTACTTCAAAGACAGTAACGAATTTTAAACATAGTAAATCAGACAGATATAAAAATAAAATACGAACCAAATCCAATAACAGCAAAAGCTAGTACCAAAGAAACATCCATGACGTCAAGATAATGGAGACGTTTAAGTCTTCCGCAACTTTAAAGACGTAATACCAACAGCAAAAGTACTGATATTTATACGCAATATCATCCCACCTTTGTGAGTGCCCATCTGCTTACAAAACAAGAGTAATTCCTTCAACTTGACCTTCCTCTTTGCCATATAATTTATTTTTACGCGCATCTGCTATTTTTTCAAACAGCTCGCATATTTTTTTCATGTTATAACTCCGTTTCAGACGTAAAAGCTGACACCATTTCTATCAACACATAACAGGAGCTCAAAAGCAATTTTTTTCTCTTAGTACGTTTTAGTATCTGGAAATTTCGTGACATTTTTCTGTCATAAACAAGTCTGCCCGACAAGCTGTGAGAGTTGTTAATTGATGTATGGTGATCTAGAATCTTAATACTACGCATTTTTAATTTGAAAACCTATAAAATTTATGGAATGTTTTCCCACATCCTGTTATAAAATGTTATGCAAAAACGTTAAACAGTGCGTATAAAATTTTATGAGATATTTTGTTAGATACTATTCTCTAAAAAAACGTCAAACAGTGTATTCTTTTATGTTAAATAACTAATTGCAATATATTAATATATTTTAATTATCACAAAAGTAATCTGTAATTTTCTAATAATTAAGTTGTTCAGCTCCAGAATATCAAAGCTCAGAAACACATGCTTGACATGAAAATAACTCAAAATTTTAAATACAATTGTATGTAAAATTAATGAAAGGGATTTTGTAAAATATACTACACATAAAAAAATAATTTACAGCATAAAAAGTGTCACAGAGAACAAAATGCCTAATACTTCTGTTTAGATCGACGTACGTTAGAGTAATGTATTTTCTAATTTTACTCCTAGCACTTCATAAAAAAATAATAAATCATAAGTGTTCAGGAACAAAATATCCTGTTACGATCGAATGTAAATATTCAGTCAAACCACTTCCGCTAAGAACATAATTTTTTATTTCCTTTCCTTATAGGATTTATGTGAACTTGTACATTTTCGTATCTGAAATACAAATTACATTGTTGTGATAAATGTTTGCTGTTTTATGATGTTATAGTTATATAAACACACAAATTATTCATGCATTTTGAAATTATGTATTATTCTCACGAAGAAATACTTATCTACTGTTTTCCTGAGTTAAAACAGCCGCAGTTAAACAAAGGAAAAATATGAGAAAATTTTCATAGATAACTTTTAAGAAAACTTATAAGGTATTTGTCCTGCTTTCATAGAGTGCCTTTGTAGTGTAGTAGTCTGCACGCTGGGCGCCTATTCCAAAGGTCCGTGGTTCGATTCCGGGCGAAGTGATCATTTTTCATCTTGCCTGCTTCCAAAATACCTAACGTCTCTACAGTGGCGCCCAAACTAGAGGGGGTTGTGGATAATGATGCTCCACACCCATGATTTGGCGATTGAATCCCCTAAAAACCTCAGTCGCCATTTAAAAGGGGGAGTATATAAAGTATTTCTCCCGCCTTCTTAGCGTGCCTTCGTGGTGTAGAGGTCTCCACGCTGGGCGCGTATTCCAGGGTCCGTGGCTCGATTCCCGGCGAAGGTGTTGCTCATTTTTCACTTCTCCTGCTTCCAAAAAAAATTCCTAATGTCTTTTCAAACTTATTAAATGTATACATTAAAAAAGTACATTTTGTAGCTGTGATTTTAAATTTGGCCATTATAACTTATAATTTTTTGAATTGCGAATGATGTATATGTCTGCACACGATCATATTAAAAAAGGGATAAAGTACGTTTATTTTTGGCTAAACGTAAGTAATACTGATGGTGGAAATTTTAAAATTGCTTTGAAATCTGAAAAATTATTTTAAACTGTAAATAATTAAAAATATTCACTTAGGCATATTTGCTTGTTTGTTGGGAGAACAAGGTTGAATAAAATCATGTGGGTTGCTTGAATGTTAATTTACAAATAATAATTTTAAGAATTATAATTAAAAGCTTATAGAGTTTTAAAATGATCTTAATTGTATTTCTGTTTCCAAAGATTTTCTTAGTGCTAGGTACGCCCTTGAATATGAATATAAATTCTAGCACCAATTTCGATTTTTGTTTGAAATTTATTTATTATATTTGAAAAAAAAAATGCATGCCTTTTTTTGTTTACATACATAAGAACATGTTGCTGCATGCGCGCGGGTTCGTAATATATTGAATGCACACTGGTCCGATGAGAGATCGGTAAAATTTATTTTACCAACAGAAACACTTAACAGTTCTGGAACTTTCCACAAAAATAGTCATAAAACGCTTCACAGTATCACGAAGTACTATCACTATTTAGACTTCCAACTATCAGGAACGTTAAACACAATGCAATAAAAAAACGCATCTAAAGAGCCAAGTTAACCTGGAGATATCTCAGTGCTCCAACAATACGCTGAACTAGCAACTGAGAGCAGATGCTCTCTCCAGTCTTGTATAATTTTGACCCGGCCGCAGAGATATTTCTAGTACTTCTGCAAATTACCTGGAAGGCATGCATGAGGGCCGGATATGGTTACCGCTACGTATGAAATTAATTACAGTTTTTCAATTACAATACCCATTACAGTTATACAGGGACTGGACCAAAATTTCGCCAAATGGTCGCCAAAGCGTAGACCTTTCCCTTATATCCTTGCTTTTCCAGCGTAGCATCGTCTCTCTAGATTTTCATGTTACATTATACAGAAAAATACGACAATTTCACATGTAATGGCGTTAAAATCATCTATTTATGCGCAAAATTCGTAACATAATAAATTTTAATAGCTACATTACTGTTGGTTTATTAATGATATTTTGAAGTTATCAGGTTCAATGTTCCGTCTTACTTTCTTCGGGAACATGCAAGGACCTGACTCGGAACAGAGAGCTTACTAAAGCTATGTTCAATCACTGTGGGAAGTAGACAGGATACACAAGAAGGGTATACAAAACCCTTTATTTTTCTCTATTTACAATAACTTCCGTACTTCGGAATACACAGACCCGCTACTTGTGGTCTAAACGTAAAAATATAAAAATAAAACTAAACTCTAATTTAACTTTAAAATAATAAACGTGGAAGATTGGCCTTATATTAACAGGAAGCCGTATGTAGTACAGAGAACTGTGAACACTACAATACGTTTAAAAAAATTATCAAGAGGATTAAAACCTCTGGCCTGGAAGGCAACCAGCAACTGAGTAAAACTTCTAAGGTAAGCGGCCTGCTTCGACTCACTGCTTCCTCTCTCTCGCTTGGCAAAAAGCCACAGCTTAAATACTTGGCGTTCGCCAGACAAACTTTGCATAAATACATTAACGTTTATAATTCTGGCCGGAAGTAGAAAATAAGAAGTGATAGTAAAGATTTAAAATAAAATAAACGTTAGTAAAACTTAAGATCCTTACAAAGTGAGGTTTCTCTATTGAAACAGTAACGTTTAAGCTATTATTTATTACATTTAAATTATTTCTGTATTTCGGTTTTATGCTTAAAAGTGATTAAAATTTTATTTCACGCAGTTTGATAATCTGTCGGAAATACAGAACATCCTACCAGTGCACTCAACGTCCTAGCTAGCCTTGCCCCCACCATTTCATAATATAAAAAGAAAATACCATAGTTCGCTCACTTAGACTGTACACCAATGCATCTCTATGAGCAGAGAATTCATCAGCATAATAATTCAACAGTACTCTGCCACCAGGCAGAATTCGACCTTGATACGAAACTACAAGCTCCATCAACTCTTGAGTAACATGAGGTGCATACTTGTAAGACATTTATTTAATTAACTAGTTATTTTATGTTTAGAATTTAAATTGTCACTTTTCCATTTTCTTTCCAGAATGCAAATTTTAGCTCGCGACGTATTTAAATGAGATAGAAAGAGGTAGTATTCAAGAAAAGGTTCTGAGAAGTTCTAGATTGCTTACATAGAGGGCGTTCCGCCTGCTGAAGACGATGTTACTTGCTTCAGTTCTACAATAGCGTTTTCTCTACGACATTGTTTTTAATCTTGCCAATAGTGCTGTAACTTCAGTGCAGGTTTCAGTCGCTTGTGCGTTAATTATTTCTGGGTAGCCATTGGCCAATTTATAAACTTAGATTGATTTTAAATTTGAATATCCTACTTTTGAGTTTGGGCACCAGAATTACCTTCTATTCAACTATTTGAGTTCTTAATAAAAATTCTTTTGCACCCTTCTTACATTCTGTTTGATCAACTAGATATAGAGATAAATTGCTTAAGTCTCTAAAAGACTTGACTTACAGCAAGCTACCGAAGAGAGTGACTTACAGCTCTACATACTGATGGATCAAAGGGTGACCAAGGCACAAGCTGTAGCTTCTGTGTGATACGAAGCACCAGCAGTGTATTTACCTGGGTACGAAGACTAAATTCTGTCAATACAGTGTTTCAGGCTGAGTATGTAGTACTTAAAGCAGCAAGTTCACTACAACATTCTATTTGGCTACAAATTAACCATATTTTCTGACTTAGCGTCAAGTCTCTACTTTGTACAAGGTTGGAAATTTAGGAACATCGTAATTAAGGAAATCCAGATAACTCTCCTCGCTGGTAAATATCAGACCATAACTGCCGTTGATCTGTGCACACACTCGGTGCACGAAAATGCCAAATTTACAGCCACTGACGAAAAAATACATGTACATGCCATATCCGAAGTAGCCGATGAAAGTGACCACCAGAACCCTTTTAATGGAACAAAGCAAAGTTTCTGGGAGAAAGACGACACTGACAGGAGAGTGCATAATTATATTCCCAACATCAGAGATAAATTACGCAGTAGTACTTCAAAGCTGACACAGTTCCTGATGGGACATGGCCCATAAATGAACTACTTACCGTATTTGACGGCATATAAGACGCACCCTTATTTAGAAGGCCACACACGAAAAATATGTTTCAATAGTCCGAACACAATACCTTAAAATGTGGTTTCTTTTAGTTCTCACGTTTCGTGAAAGCCAAATAAACAATCATTGAATGCAATTACCAAACATATTTTTATTAAGGAAAACTAACAGGCAAGCTACTTTTTTTCGGTAGGTGGTGGACCGAAATCCCTTGCTGTGCTCTGTTTCCATGCACTTTGGCGTAGTTTAACACCCCTAGTTTATACTGAATTCTATAGCTTAATCTTTTGTTTCCTGTAGTCATATTTTCCAGGGTATTTTTTTAAACAAACAGTTTTAAGCACCGACACATTTATACTGGGTAGCACCGATACCGACACGTGTGTCGGCCGAGTCAAAGAAAGTCTATGTAAAGAAGGAAAGGCTCCATAGACGTAATGTGACCGTCGAACCTGTTCGAACTTCGACATCAGCTTCTAACTTTGGAGCTTTTTTGGCGACAGATATTTCACGAATGAGCAAAATAATTATGGCAGATGTAGAAAAAGGTATGTGTGTCTAGACCTTTATCCGGGCTAAAAATAGCATTCAGTACTGAAAGTTAACCTGTGTCCCTCACGTATAAGACGCAGGTAACTTTTTTGAGACCAAATTTAGGAAAAAAAGTGCGTCTTATATGCCGTCAAATACGGTATTTACCTACTATAGTTTCAACTTTCGGAACAGTGGGCAGTGCATATTTGGAGGGGCTGGAATCCCTGACCATTGTATTTTTGACTGCCTGGAAACAAACATGTATCTGAATGTACTGAATTATGCTGGAAATTGAACTCTTTGTAGTTCGATCATTCTCCCTTTATCATTATACAGATCAACAGGCCTGAATAATAGTAAATGTAAAATTTTATCTCAATTCAAATATTATAATGCATATTCCGCGTAACAAGTGTTCTTGGTCAGATTCATGTTTGTGGTTTTTGATGTGGTATTATGAATATGATTCTCCATTAGGACACCTGTCGTTTTGTAATACGTTTTAGTTATTATCTTGTAGAGACATTAGGTACTTGAGAAGCAGGCAAGATGAAAAATGAGCAATTGCCTTCCCCAGGAATCGAACCACGGACCTCTGGAATATTGGTCCAGAGTGCAGAACCACTACACCACGAAGGGTCGCTAGGAAGGTGGGAGAAATACCTTATAATCTTTATTAATTTCGTTTTGTGTTGTTAGTCTTGGTTATCAGTTTATCTATTCCATCTATTCTAGTTGTTTATTCATGCTAAATGAGAGTGCATTAACATATTATTAAGAGAATGAATTTTTTAATGTAAATACGTAAAATATTCTGTTGCATCAACTGAAAAAGGAAACACGCCAATATAAAATTTAAAATTAAGCGGTTTTTTGCTTCTGAAGAAGATGGAACTGTACCTGATAGCCTCAAAGTGATAAGAGTTTTACTAGAATCTACGTGAAACTAAGATTGCGTTGCTTTGCTAAATTTTGAACTTTGTTGCAGCTTTGTATGATATTTTTAACTACTTTTTACCGTTTTTTATCTTTAAAAAACAAGAACGTAGGAATTAAATTTGTTCTTCCAATAATTAAGAGGAAAATAGCCATTACTATTATTTTTCATTAATTATTCTCTTCCTTCCTAAAAAGAGCATTTTGTTTCAGAAAATATACAAGTTGTAATTTTGTTTGCAATAAAATACTTTCTATCAGTAAATCAAAGCCTTAAAAGACATCAACTCTTAACATTTCCGAACAATTTCCGGGTCAAAGCATATCAGGGAGCGACTGGTAAATGTATAAACACTAAAGCGATAAGATGACTCTTATGTCCTTCCGACGCTGTTCCTGAAAGGAAATGAAGTGATGAAAATTGCTCGCAGCAGTTTCACTTCTCGTACAGAATATTCAGTTGGGATTTACTTTCAAAATATTGATTTCTAAAACTGTTTACTTCGATTCAGTTTCACATTTTGGTAGATACTACTGAATGTTTTCCTAAAGGAATGCATTTTATGTTCTCTAATATTTTCGGTCACTAGTTATAGTTTAAAAATATTTATAACTAAAACTAATAATTTATTTGCATTTTGCCAGACCTGTGGTAGTTCTCTGTTTAAAGGCACTAAAAATGAATAAGACCAAAGCTCAACTTTTCATAATTTTTACATTTTTGCTCTATCATATGTCCTTCGCGGATGAAAAAGAAGAAGATGCGATTGTACATTATTTAAACAACAGTAGTTTTGTGCAAGGAAAAGCTGAAATAGTTTTCCTGTTGGATAGATCTGGCAGTATTGGAGCAGCAAATTTTGAAGAAGAAAAAGGTTTCGTGGAATCTTTCTTAACTCATATCGTTGTGGATGTAAATGCAACACGAGTAGCAGTTATCAGTTACAGTGATAATGCTGGTAAGTACTGAATTTTTAATATTTTTGTAATAATGAAACCAAATTAACTAAGTCATAAACATAATCACTTTATTATTCCCACAGTTTTCTGAATTGATGCTGGCTTAAGGGAATAGTTATATTAGAAAGTAAAGAAATACATAAAATTCTTAATTTGATAAAAATTTGAAATTCCCGAATGGCAACGTATTCGAATATAGTAAGAAAACGTTTAAAACGTTTATCTTCTTTCTGAATTTTTTATTAAAACATGGAATATTTGCTTAGTTTTACCGCAGAACAATTTAATTATTATTCTTTTAGTGCAGCTTAAACATATCACTAAGTGTAAAGACAATATGCAAGCTATTTCTTTCTTGGTAGCGCGTTTAAATACTTTGTCTCTTCTTATATTCGAGCCATTACGATAAATATTGTAGCGATATTTTAGCCTTAGAATAAAAGTTCGAGCTGTCATTGTAAGGTTGAGAGGTTGAGAAATGATGGTGAAAATAAAGCAGAAACAAAAAAAAAATTTCATCCACTGTTTTAAGAAAAAAGTACTTTTTAATGTTTATTGAAATATTCGCAACAAAAGCAGTATCAGAGAGAAATAACTAATTTATTAATGATATAAATAAACAGTAATATTAAATTTACAGTACCAGTGCGTCACAAAGAAATATTTTTGCTTTAACATTGAAAAACCAGAATTATTCATTTATGTTATTAAAAAAGAAAATGCAAGTTTCTATTCGTATTAAAGGACTCTTTTTCTGTGGACCCATTTTCTGCATTAAGTGAGAAAATATTTTAATTAAATACCTGCAATACACTCGTAGAAAAATTTACAAAACTCACTATAATTTGAATGATTTTGCAGCTACATGGAATTTGCATTAAATCTTATTTTGTCATACATAACATATCTACAAAATACCGAGTTGCTATTTCTTCAAAAAATAAATTTAAATAATAACACAGGAAATGAGATGTAAAGTGAGATAGGAAAACGCCGTAGTTACAGCCTTTTAGAGACGCATAGAAAAGCTATCAAAGTGCGTGCATTTCCTAATCGTAATGCAAGCTTTACAGCTATTTTCCGTAATGTGTAGTAGACTGTCCAGAAGTTTCTGTTATAACAAAGTGTATTCGCAATGAAAAGCGCCTCTAAGCTCCTGGGGTTCAATGATATAAGTAGGCATACTTGCGTGTCTAACATATCTTCTATCATATTTAAATCCGTAGAATATGCGGTCCAATAGATTCGCTGAATTCCTTTTTCTTCAAGATAATCGGTCGTTAGTGCATCGCAATGGGGAAAAGCAATTATTGTCCATTAGTAGGACTTTATTACTGACTCTACTAAACAATTTGATGTAAGGCTCGAAAACCTCATATCTTTATATTTTAACATTTATAGTTACACTCTTAAAAAGTGTATAAATTTGATGGGTGGTCATTTAAAATGATGCCCGGCCATATCATGATTCCACCCAGTACCAATCCCAGAAGCAAATTAAAACTGCCAACTTTACAGAAATATGTTTGATAATCATTTCGCCGCTCTTAAATTTGGGCCGCTGAGATGCTGTGCACTCTTTTGCCTCCCTCTAGAATCGGCCCTGATTCCACCAATTTTGAACCTACTGGATATACGGATTTTTCATATTTTTCAGGCATGTGTTTTATTTCTTCTAGATTTTAATACGTTTGGACGTCATTTTACGTCTGGTACGAAAAATGAGTCTTACCAGTAAAGAGAGAGCTCGGTACCAGTTTGTGGTACTCCATTCATTATTATCTCAGCATCAGGGCAGCTCGAGTTAGTGGGACAAAAATCATGGGTTTCCTTGCATAGAACTCACTTTCATGCAGTTTGTCACTCACGGTATACCAATAGTTTCGTTCTCGTACTGCAGGGAATTGCCTAGCATTCTGGGTTGAAGTCAGTTGCCTATTTATTTTAGTAAAGATTGCCAAATAATGGTCCTGAGAGTCTACTTTGACACGTTTTTCACCTTCACTTGGTTGTCTGTATTCATCACCATACATTAAACCATTTCCATTGACATTTTTTATTGTTTTTATGTCTAAAATTGTCTTTATATACACCTGTGTCAATGTCTGTCTGCTTTCACTTTCCCAGTTCCACGATATTTCACACAATCTGTTAGATGCCTTCTTAACGGCTTGTTCTTCCTTCCAAATGTGAAATGTTTAGACAGTTGCTCGTACAATACTTGAAATCAGAATTATAAGTATTTGTATATTTCTGTGCAACTAAGGTGAATCTTACTGGATAACTTGATAACGCTGGCCCTCAACTACCATCGTGTTTCATTGGACTTCACAGAACTAGGTTATGGATGTGACAAAAAATTCGGTTTAATTCTTCTGCAATTAAAATTCTACATGAATGTATTTTACATAATTTCATATCGAAACGTTTAAAATATTTGCATGTCCCATCGTTAATTTAAATAATTTTCCATAATTCAGTCTACGTATAAGATATTAACTCAAAACCTAACAGTGACGCTAATAGTACTTCACAGTAAATTATGTGAGGAAAGTGTTTTTGAAGTAGGATTTCGCCGAAATGTTTTTGAAATGAAGAAAAAAAAGCATCTGCTCATACGCAGTGCTTTATTTATGCGTTACAGATGTCAATTTCAGACGCAGCTTTTATTAGCTTTCGCAATATTTTTTTCTCTAATCTTTCCGTTTAAACTTTTTTATGACCAAGGTTACGAAAAAAACTTTTTTAAGGTATTCGCAAATAAAGTCTTCAATTCCAGTATTAAATGTAAGACAAGAATAAATATATTAATAGAATTATTAATCACGAATTCAATAATTACAAATTAATAAAAATGTATACATACACTGCGACCTTTCATAGCGATCATCCCTGAACTTTCCAAGTATTCTTAAGAACATAAATAAACAATTTAACGTCACCTTTCTAAGAATAAAATCGTATGAAATTGCTCAGAGTTATTTCGAAGGGTTTCTCTGTAAAGTTGTATAATTATACAACTAAAAAAAAATTTCAGTTTTGCGATCCAATAAAATTTGTCTCTCGATTCGCAGTTTAAGAGCTCTTGATCTATAAAATGTAAAAATACGTGCACACTCTGCACGAATCTGTGACTCTGTCTTCCTTCTCTGTAACTTCATAGCGGAAAGAAATAAATTTCTTTATTTGAATCTGATGAACTTGCTTCAAAGATGAAGAAATGCTTCAAAGATGAAGAAATGCTTCAAAGAAATGTGTTCTCTGACTTGATATCCAGGCTTTAGGCACACAGAAGAGAACGTTCTGTTCACAGAGCTTTTGTCCCTGAAACAGGAAATGAGGACTGGTGACGTAGTCATGTGGACACTGACAACGGAGACGCAATTCACAGCAAAGAAAACAGCGTTTTAAATTTGACGAACTAGCGTTAAAACGAAACAAAAACTGTGTGAAAGATAGCTATAATTCGGAAAAGACGATGTTACTGCTGTATGCATTTTACATTGAACGTTTAAAAGGTTAATAATGCTTATTCATTAATTAATGACAGATAACGTGCGTTACTATTTATCACAAAGTTTCTTTTTTTATATATATAGATTTTTCCCCTGAGCATTTGTTCACAGCCTTTTCTTCATCTGCATACTATCTGGGAGAATTTTTAAGATAACTAGTGTAACAGTTTTTTTAAGTTAGCAAAAAGGCAACCTTAGATTACCATAGTTTTTAACATGCGTGGCAATTCTATTTTCCTTGTACTAAAGAAGAGGAACTTATGTTTGATTGCTCTTGAAATCGAAAGTTTTATTCAAAATTTAATCTAAGCTAAGGCTGCTTTTTTCCCTCATTATATATATTACATTGGCATGTTTCTCTTTCGATTCTATGTATAACAGCTATTTTTAAAATATTTTTTTATTTTATACTCATGTCTGTATCACATACATTACATTTAAATATAGTATGCAAGACTGTTGTCTTAAATTTGGTAACATAGTTTTAATCACAGTATCTAAAGAGAACGAGTTATTTTTTTAAAGAAAGGGCTAAGGAGGAAGGTCTCTTTATGCGGAATTACTTCGATGTTTAACACGATTATAAATTATCTAAAATTTTAACTAGCTTTGTTGTCTAAATTTCGCTATTTGAGATTTTAATTTTTGAATTTATGATACAAAATTGTTTCTGGACATCATTCTCATTGAGCAGCCATTCTAAAGATATTTTTTCATTGTTCAATATTTCAACACAATATAATAAGAATATTAGTTTCCCTTCAAATAATCAATGTATTTTTGTTTATCTTTACAATTAGGACATTCAGGAATATTTACATCGTCATTTGGGAGTTCTGTTTTGAAAGCACTCATATCAGATTTATTGCTGGAACCATCATTTTCGCAACGGACTCAAAATGAATTTTTTTAGAACTTAATTTGGGTAGTCTTTTAAAAGTACGGTGCATTATTTTTCTTTTCTTCTGCTCTTACGTTTGGTGTTATTGTTTTTACTGTGCATGACAAAGTTACTTTCGGCACAGCACTGGATTTTAACAGTTTCTATGTGGCAGTCCAACCAAGCGAATTTAATTCCATCTTCATATTCACTGCACAGAAAATGTTCACTCTAAATTCTTGCGTTTTTCACCTTAATAGAAACCTGTCTTCGATAATGAAGTATCTACTTTTTCTCAAAAGCAAATTGTCCAATAGGAAAAAATGAAATACGATATCCCTTTTCTCATTTTTATGAGTGTACGACACTTTTGCTACAGCGCAAGAAGACATATTGCATAAATGATACAACGCAGAATTTAAAAGAAAATTTACTAAAACTATAATTACAAAATTTTTTTAAATATTTACGTTACTCAAAAACAAATATTCATGATTAAAATTAATTCGGATATCCACATCACTGGATAATCACTTTGCAGCAAAATAAAACTACTATTTGAAACGCACGTAGTCAGAGCTGATGTAGCCATGGACCTTACTCTCTTACAAGGTCCATGGATGTAGCTTAGTGACGCCAGACTACTTCTTATTAACTCCCCCTATGAGAGCCGCGTCAGCGAGAGGTCAGTCAGAGGAATGAATGAGCCCTTCTCTTTAACCCTAATGCATACAGTTAGTTAGTTAATGAAAAAGCAATTAAAAAAGTAAAAATTAAGTTATACGGAACTGTTTAGGAGAATAAAATCAAAAATCAAAGTAGTGAAGGCTTAATTATGCAAAATTTTTATTTAATTACGTTCATTCAAAGAAAATTACGAAAGTTAATCTTCAGAAGCTATCATAGATTTTAGCTACTTAATCGAAATAAAACTTCATAAAATTAAATCTTGTCGTTTCTAATTATTGTAATATTCTTTTCAGAACGCCATATTGATTTCCTGCGTGAACCGAAGAGTAAGTGCTTCCTGTCTCAAGAACTCCAGGATGTCGTCTTCAAAAATAGTGGAGCTACTAACACAGCAGCAGCAATACAAGAAGCTGCTCTGGTGTTTGAAAATGCACGTCCCAATGTAAATAAGGTAAAAATAACATTCTTATTGTAGCTTTACTAATATTGAACTCAAAAATATTACTTACTTATTATTTTTTGGTAAGCACAAGGTTACTACTGGAAGAATATTTTTTGAATCCGGCTCCGAATATTTAAGGAACGCTTATTTCTCCCTTTATTAGTTCCAGTCTATAATTCACTCAAATGATAAAACTTTTTAACAGTAGTAAACTAATTTCTAGTTCAGTTACAGTTAATGACTGATTGTAACGTTTAGGGCTTGATATTATATGTTAGGAAAACATCACTCAGTTATTATTAAAAACTTCGTTTTACTTTTCTCGGTAAAAGCAAGCCACTTTCATACATGTTTCCTTATCAGAAATTAATCTACTATTACTGCAATTAAAGGTTACATTAATTTAACTTCTGAGAGATTCATGCTACCTAAATTGGTTGTTATAAATTTAAAATAAAAATTCTCATCACTGAACTAAATGTCTGGTCTGATAAGTCTGCATCAAAATAAGTTTACTTTCTTAGATCACAATCTGCTTTTGCTAGTTGATAATACTTCTGTTTCCTAAAAAAAGGAATTTGTCACTCTTTTGACATTCTTTATTGTATTACATAGTTAATTCGTTTCAGCAGATAAAAGTGTGAGTAATAAATTTCTCATTTTATTATTTCTGTACTTAATAAAAATGTATTTTTTATTTAATACAAAAAGTTAAAAAGCTTTTATTTATAATTCTAAAATAACTCGGGAAATGTTAATCCTTAACTGTTAACAGTTTATTTTCTCGGATTCATTTTTGTGCTAAATACCCCAGAATTAATCCCAAATTAATAAAGTTAATTATAAAGTTATTTTTACTATTGAAACCGATACTTTGAAACTTATACTTTGACCTTTTACTATTGAAATTATAAAGATATGCTCTTTTAAATATTTTGTGATATTGCTGTTGAATTCAATTTTATGGCTTAAGTGTGAAGAACATAAATAAAGGCAACACACAAAACGTGAAAAAAACCTCCCCTTGGGTGTAATCTAAAATCTGAAAGCTTTAAAAAAAATCTTCTGTAATTTTATTCGCTTAAGATTATTTAAATGTTATTATCATCTTTCAGTCTTTTGGCAAAACATTTATCGACATCATAATTATGTTTTATCATATTTATGTACGGCTAGCTCGGAAGGTCTAGAGTTTGAATCCCAGCGACGAGGGCATAGCTCATATTTCTTGCTTTAAAAAAAAACAGACTCTACACATTGTACGTTTCAGATTTTATAAAAGATTAATCATCGCCAATGATAAATCATTTTCAAATCATGATGTAACTAGCCTAATATTTTTGTCATTTAATGTTTAGAGAAAAATTCTGATAAAATATTTGACAACTTTATGCTTACGTAATTTTTTTAACTGAAAAAACAAGCTTTTGACAACAGCTGCGCTTTATCCACATTTTATTTAATAACTTTTGTTTTTATTTCTTCTTTTCTTTTTTCTTCACACAAATGAAGGTCTCTGTCACGGCCAAGGTAGTTCCTTTTCAACAAGTTGTCACACGTTAACATAATTCGCGACACTATGTGCGCAGTCGAAACATGTCGAACACACTTGTTTTCTTTGCGATTGGCCAATGGGAAAAAAAACTCAAGAATATTGGAAAGTCCCGAAGATCTGAGGCACGGTGATGAAACTTGCAATGACTGAATCATACAGAAGGCGCATAATCAATTCAATTCGCATCATAACAAGTTGATTAATTTGTAATTTCTAGCACTGCATGTTTTACTTTCTTATAAATTAATACTGTAAAATATGCCAAAGATTAAAAACGATATTCCCTTTTTTGCAGTTAAAAGGAAGGAACGTAAATATATCTTTTATGCCTTTAGATTTTCAAAAAATATTTAAATTTACCAAAAGGTAATTTTATCATTAGCAGTGCCAAAATTTACTTTTTCCACCTGTATTCCCTTTTGTTAGAAACGTAATATTCATTCATCATTTATTCATTTCTCAAATTTATGAAGAATTTTCATTTGGTTTCGTAAAGTAGTCATATTAACCTGATTTCAGCAGTTATTTGAATCACTTAATACATTTATGACTGACATGTAATGTATCAAGTGGTAAATACACAATAATAAACTATGTACACTGAAAGATTTAAATTTACTACTTCATATGATTCTGAATTGATATTATACGGTATTTTCTCCCTACTTTCCGCCTGCCTTCGTGGTGTAACGGTAGCACATTCTTTGCGTATTCGAGAGGTCCAGTTTCGAGTCACGGTAGCATATTTCACAAGTGCACATCGGCGTAGCTACTGAGAGAAGGGTTTCGAAAATGGACTAATGAACTGCTATTGCTCTTGTGACGCTAAATCTCGTAGTTCTTTCGTTTTCTTAAGAGAATTTAGGTGTATATATTTTTTTAATTGAGCTGAGAATTACTGAAAGTGTTACAATGAATCTAGTATTTTTTTTATTTCAGTGCTTGCATTCTTTTGATTTTTAAAGTGTAAGATTCAAAATACATATGATCTGATTATATCCATTGTTAACATTAAAAATTATATCTGAGTAAACTGAATATACTCGTCGTGAATACGATAAATTCACTCTATTTCATGGGTATTTCTTGTGTAGACAGTACATTTAAGAGTGAGCAGTTATTAAATGTGAAATTTAACACACTAAATGTATTCGAATGCAAATTAGTAAAGTTCACTTTGAATAAAATTCTGCATTGGATTATTATAGAACATCTTTTTCATATGGACTGCAATAAAAAGTGCTGACTTCTATTTACTTATATAATTGGTGTAAATATTTTTCTCATACGCATAGTTTTATGTAAAGTTACGTAAAGTTATGTAAAGTTTAGTTATTTTACGCATAATATTATGAGCATTTGAGCTCAGATCTTTATCACGTATTTCTTTTTACATCTTATTTACCACTTATTAAGTAATATTTCAATTGATATTTTTGCAAAGTATCCAACATGTGTTTGTATTTATTTCAACCAGGTAGTGAAATCTTCAAAATTTCCTATAATTGATTTAACTTCGCAATGAAAAGTTTCAGAAGCAATCGATGATGCTTTAATTATTTTGTATAGAATATTTTCAACCATCTTGCTTAAATCTTAAAGCACGCGAAAGGTCATGTGACATGACAGAAATATTACTGGATGCTCATTGGTTCATCCTAGAAGCCACTCCTTCGGTGGCTACACAGATGTGCACTTGTGAAATATGCGTCCCGGTGACGGCATTGCACATTTTTCATGCCTCCTGCATAAAAAAAAAAAAAAAAAAAAAAAAAAAAAAAAAAAAACCAGGGTTTCAAAATATAAATAGTTTTATAATAAACAGAAATCTATGAAAATACATATTTCGTCATGTCTTTAAAACAAATAGAAAATTTCACTGCTTCACGATCAGTAGAAATTCTCTTCATGTTCCAAGAAAACCCATATTGCATATGAATTTTATCTGAACATGAAGACTAGACTACTACTGTTATTATACTTATTGTAATTCATTCTACTTTTATGCCCACAAAGGCCTGAAGTGACGCGTATAAAATTGAATATAAGTGATATGTGTGTCTGAAAGTCATTATTTTATGATGAACTGCCCATTAAATTCTAAACACAAAATACAAATCTGGTAAAACCCAGGCATCATTCAATATTTCTACAAGAATATTTTTATATCATTGAAGTCTGACATATAAATATCAGAGGTCTTAATGCGAAAATCTACTTCGCAGTATAATTTGAATAAAATGACTTTATGTCAATCAGTGAATAAAGAGGGTGTTTTGGTCGTTGATTTTCAGAGTTGTGCCCCACAATAGCTATTTTTTAACTCTCTTAGACGATATATAATATAACAGTCTTCAAAACGAAAGTTCAACACATGAGTTTTCTGATTTTTGGATTATTAATTATCTATATTTCTCTTTAATATTCATTCTGGAATCAGTTTTTTAGGTTCCTAAGATACTCAAAGGAAAAAACCTGACTAATTAAGAAAACTCTAGGCTTCCAGGCTTTCTGACTTGAAAAGCATTCACGAGAACTCCGGCAGAAGACACGACACTTCTGCGAAATTAATGTATCAAACTTTCTCATCTATTAAATTGCGTTTAAATATGCTACACTTAAGAGAAAAATTACTTTTGCATGATTATAGTTCGTGACATTCTTATGATTTCTGATACAGTATGACTAAAGCAGGAACTGTGAATGTGGATTTGTGTTAAGAGTGAAATGTGAAAGTGAAGCGTTTAAAAGTGATTGCTGTTTTAAGCATAAAATGACTACGATTATTACTGTCATGTTCAAAGTGATAAAAACAAGCGAACCTTAGTTGCCAGCATCATCATTTGTCACGAAAGGAATTGTTCCATTCCCCACTTCTATAATGCGATGTTTTGACTTAAGTTTTACATCTGAGAGAAAAGTACACTGTGCCGAGTAGAACTGGAGAGAGCATAAGCAGAAAAATTACAGTTTTAATATCTTAGCAAGAATTTTAATATCTTGATATTGTTCTGAAAATTACTTTACGAAAGAAACACATTTATATAAATTTAAACTAATTAAACATTTTACATTCATATCTTTTACAGGTAATAATTTTGATAACAGATGGATTTTCTAACAAAGGAGGAGATCCAGTACCTCACGCAGCGAAGCTTAAACAAATGGGAGTTCAAATATTTGCATTCGGTATTGGACGCTTCCTAAAGACAGAACTGCAAAGCTTGGCCAGTAGTCCAAATCATGCTTTCAGCTCCTCCGATTTCAAAGAATTCAAGAGACTGGCAAGAAAAATTCGAGGAGGTGAGAAAAAGAGGTTTTCACGAGAAATTATCTCTGAATATCACAATATTCGTCAAGATTTCCTTAATTTAGATCACTTGTAAGACTTTATAACAAGGAATATTTATTTAGATTTAAATTTCAAATACCTTCTTCTAGCTTAGCGGCTTAACTATTAACTTAAACTACATAATATTTTATTTCGTTAGCTAAAATTTTATTCGTTATTTTTATGGATTAGAGTAAAGTACATTGCTGATTGTCCATAATAAAACAAACTTATGAACAGTCATGAAAGATACAACATTGAGAAGTCTAATAAACCCAAAATTTCTCAGAAGTAAGAAGTATACGAGTCCATTGTTGCATTTATAAGATTGTTTGAAATTAATTAATTATGAATTTCAATTTTTGATCTTCGGGAAATATTAGTTCTACATTTCTTACTTTATGTCTTAATGATAATTTTTCTGAAGCTTAATGCGCGAAAGCACTAGGCATGTTTATATTTTGTTTTCAAAAGTATTATTTTGTAATTATATATATATATATCAAAATTCTTTGGCTTTCTATTTTAATTTGGTTATTTTACTTTTCCATCCTAACAATAGTTACTGCTTATAATAAATCTCTCTAAACTGTGTCATTCAAGCTTAATGCTTTTAACATGATTTTTACATAACGCTAACGATACAGTTTCTTACATAAAGCTCTAGCTTATATTAATATCAAATTTACAAATCGGAACTTAAAATTAATCAGTATGGAGAAAGCTCAACTGAAACTAAATAATTAAAATCGTAAAAACAACCTTGTATTTAGCGTAAGTATATTGAAACACTCAATCGATTTCGAGGGCAGCTAAAGGTCCCTCCTCATCAGGAGAAAGAAATACCTAGAAAGAAGAAAAATAAAGGGGAAGGAGTCTCAAAAACACGTGGTCCTTATAAGCACTGCACGTGGTTATAACCGGATTTTTTTTTTTTAAATCAGAGTTACACTGGCCGCCTACTTTTACTGAGCCAGGCTATCTGATCAAACACGTAACACAAAGGACAAGAAAAATTAGCGAAGTTAAAAATAGGCAGCGAGGGGCAACTGCACCTTCATGCTCAAAATCTGAACTTCGAATGAAACTAAATAGTTTTTTAATTAAGTTTTTATCTTTGAACCATTGTATTCCGCTTTCGTATCGATAACTTCCAAGCTTATTCTGCTTCTGCACTTTCTTTCTTCACATACTAAAGACGCAAAAATTAAATAAAGAACAGGAGCTTGAAATTTATGTTGGTAAGATTTTGCAAGTAAAGATTACAGTTTCCAAAACTTTACCCGTTTAAATTTTATTTGATTAACAGACTCTGTAGCACTGTTTTACTTGCTAGCTGTAAATTGTAACTAACTAGCAAATTTAAATTTGAAAGCAAACTTTGTACATTCAAAAAAGTATATTTAATTAAAACACAAACGCTATATATAATAATTACATGCCAAAATTAATAAAAAGTAACATGAAGAAATTTACTTTAGGACAAGAGAAAAAGTTATGTTCATGCAAAAATTCGTCGAATTGTTAGTTTTTTTTAAATCGTTTTCTTTTAAAAATTTTTCTTACTGTGTAGGGTTTATATTTATTTTAACTAACATTTATTTTAAGTTTAAACTATCTTTCCTGTCAAGCCTTACTTTTCCCTGGAATTGCCAATGCCAGAGTATGTAAATTTTAGTAGAACGCGCAAGGATTCAAATTATCAGCGGAAGTATTCTGAGTTAAATAGAAAGGAACGAGTGCGAAATTGTGCTTTCTTACTTCACGAGAGTGGAGGTGGCTAGTTAGGAATTGAAAAACCACGCATTTCGGCCTGTGTGCTTGCCTCGGCAAATTGTTAATCTTTCAACGTAATATTCAGAGTTTGCTGAATTATCAGCGGTATTTTAGAACGCGGTGAGGTTAGTTACGTTTAGAGAGCCTCATAGTTAGTCGCTTGTTATTATCTCTTTTTAGTTTCTTATTTTTATTTTACCGCCGGGTCGGCGTAGTTTGTGAGCGTCAAGAGCACGCATTTGTAATTTCTAAAGTTGAGTTGAATAAAAAGGGACTTAAACCCTTCTCAAGACTCTGTCTAATTTCCAGTTTTCAGCAGTCACCACTTTGTTGCGTGCAGGTTGGAAGCGCGCAACTTTACAACTGTTACCATTTTTCGTTAGGTTACAACACTAATTTTTATTTATTTTTATTTTTTAATATTAGAGAAAACAAAAGACTTGCGTTTGGCGTAAATTTTAATTCGATTCGAAGCCAAACAGGTACAGGTCCCTCTTTGTCAGGGGCAAAATAAATCTGCTAATCTGGGGACCTGCACCTTTTCGCACCACTAGGCTTGATTTTCAGTTATCTTTAGCCTTACATTTTATTTCGCGTGCTCTTAATTTGCGTACCTTTTTAGTTTAAGCGAATGTATGACTTGAATGAAAAAGAACATAAGACAATTTTAAATTACATTTAACTGTTAAGAAAACGTTGAACGAGTCATGTCAACTTTAAGCAGCAGAATTAAACTGTTAGTCAGCAGGCATGACTTTAGTGTAATTAATATATTATTAAGGGCAGTGATTTCGAATTTCTGATTGCGATGCTTTAAAAGTAACATAATAAATATTCAGAAACTTTCTTCCTTTAGATCCTCATGAAGTATCCTGGTCTGGACAAGCATCACAACCGAACTGTGATCACTTGTGCGAAAGTCCTTACAAGGGAGACCCAAATGACCCAGGATGCTGTGATCATGATGCTAGATGTTCATGTGCTCTGCTTTCAGGCATGCATACATGTGTTTGCGGACCAGGTTATTATGGACTGTCTGGCCTCATGGGACAATGTAGAGGTATAAAACTTTATAAAATTCATTAATATTAAGAATAATCTGGGAAAGAAAATACTGACTATGATTAAGAGTGACAAGAATGGATGCAATGCATAAAAAATACTAATATTCGATCTCTGTTGGCAATCTAGAATATAGAATAAATATCAGATTTTGAGTAAGGCCGTATACCAAAACATCAATTAATATTATTTTGCATGCTGCAAAATACTATCAGATATATTCAAATAGAGTGTTTTTAATTATAAAACAAAAGATGAATATTTCTTACTTTAAAATTCTAAATTCACAGAATATTTTATTACGCAAGAAATGCAAATTGTACAATAAAATTTATCATATAATTTATTTGTCAAATGAAAGGGCAACATTTCAAAAAATGTAAATGCTTCAAAATATTTAAAGCGATGCAGTGTAATTAAAGTAAAATGTATGCTTCTGTTAATAATAATATAACAAAAATAATTTAAGTAACCATGCAGATATGAACAACTTAAAATACCGAATTATTTTAAAGTATTGATTTTAAGATTTTGATCTTCTTCTTTATAGAAGTGACATTTTGACATTTTAATCTCTATTATACTTTACAGTCTTTTACAGTAAAGCAACATCTATCCTTAACTTTACGTCTCCTTTCGCAATACAAAACTTTAAACAAAGTTTTGTAACTATCTGAAAGTTACAAAACGTTTTGCGAAAGTATGATATATTTCAGCGACGGTCAATTCTGTACTTTCAAGATCAAATTAAGTTTAAGCTTGTGGCGGAGGATCCTATAATGTGTTTTGTTCAGTAGAATGGTTTTCAATATTTTTTGCCTTATGCACTTCTTTCACTATTATTAAAAGGTAGTTCCTCTTTCCCAAACTTGAAAAATACATCCATACATTTATTTAACTTTAGATTATTTTCTAAGTTGTCATATAAATTAATCAACAAAAAGTATAGTAAATGTTGATAAATACCAAAACTTGAGTAAAAGTAGTTTCTCATATTAATAGAACGAACCTAAATACTTAGTAGCTAAATAAAAGGCTGACCTCATCCTCCCTTCTTCCTCTGACACTATGAAATTGGCCTCTGGTTAAGAACCCCTGGTTTAGTAGGTATTTAGATCTATGTCTTGGAAATACTAGTCATTTCAAAACTTTCTCTTGTATTTATTTCAAAGAATCTTTGTTATAACGTTACCCTAAAATGATTAGAAGTATGAAAACACACAAAATTCGGACAATAAAAATAAATAAATTAAACTCGCCATAACCCACCCGGGTTGGCTGTCCCGATGTTAGAGTTCTTCCTAATGTACGCATTATCTCTGTATTTAGCTTCTGACTTTAGAAACTTAACTAATATTAACTCAGTTCCTTACACGAAACAGATTTTTGGAATTAACTGATTTACTTCTTTGAGCAATCCTACTTTAGAAATGCGACTGAGGAAGATGTCATCTTAAAATTAGAAACTGTTTATAAGTCATTCCGCTTCGCATTGAATTATTGTAGTAATTCATAGTTAAAAGATGCGTCTTTATTCAGCTTGTCCTAGAGGAACTTACAAATCGAAACTGGAGCCGACTCGATCCTGCACGCCTTGCCCTCCTGGAGCTACTACTGCAGAACTTGCCAGTACTTCTGTTAATGACTGTTATTGCAAGGATGGATATTTTGGTGATCCTTCATCAGGAGTACCTTGCACTTGTAAGTAACTCTCTGAAGTTTCTATAACATTTTATAAAGTGCTGTATTTTCTTGAGTTAGCAGTTTTTTAAACTGGTTTTATTAAATCTGTGATTCATTCATTAAATCTGTGATTAAAGTTCATTCCTTTTTATATGATATTACATTATACAAAATAAGATTATTATTAGTTCAAAAGAACCTTTAGCCCGAATGGGCTTTTGCCTGCGTATTACTTTAAATGAATCACTTTTAAAGTGTTGCCTTGAAATATTATCGCCCGGCATTACTTTTAAAGAAATTAAATAATGAAGAATCTGCATCAATGTATGTATGTTTCTCGCACGGCGGTAACGGTACGCATATATTTTGTACCGCTTCATGCGCATAAGGAAAAATCCGTACTTGTGATTGGACACAATTTCCGATTACATCATTTTCTCTTGACCTAATGACGTTTAGGTTTTCTTACAGTTTCGTTTTCGTTGAATGACGCGCATGAGTAATACGGAGTGTTACGGAAGCGTGAAAATTATCATTTGTGTTCTTTGAATAATAATGCCAGACAAAAACATTGGCATTCTGTTTATGGAATAATAAAATTTTAAAATTGTTCAAAGATGCTGTTAATAGCAGAAGCAATTTTAAATGCTTAGATTATACAAATAACGGAAATCATAAATTAGTGCAAAACACATTGGATTACACGACGATCTCGACTCAAATATAAAAACATATGTGCTAATAAATATAGCATAATTGAAATTTTGTGGCAAAACGTTCCTTTCACATTGCAGAAAATATTTCCTTTGCAAATGTATTTTATTTTCATGTTAATGTCCACATCTTTTACACTTCTAATATTATGTTGCCTTAAATAAAAGAAAAAAGTGCATTCAGTATATTATCTGAATACAAGATATTGAATACAGTATATTAGCTACTTCGTCGATAACGCATAAACTACAATAGAATAAACGCAATCTTTAAAATACACTACACTTTTTTACCATAGCGACACTCTGGCTCTAGGTTCACTTAAAAGCGTAACATTTCATTCATTTTATAACTCAGAATGAACAAAATTTATATCATTTGAAGAATTATCTAATCGTTGCCATATATTCTATTCAAATGCTATAATAAATCTAAAACGATGTATAAAAGAAAGCAAGCAAACAAACAACAAAAAAAAAAAAAAAAAAAAAAAAAGGAACATTTTTTTCACAGAGGATTTAGTATTTCTCATTCAATTAATTCAGTTCTCAGTTTGTACAAGGCAAAAATACTTAAAAACTAAAAATACTATATTAAAAATTACGAAGTAAATCTGAAACACTTATTTCCTCGAGTAAATTCCAGAACGTATTAAGCATGATTTTATTCGCAATAATAAAAGAAGGCGATATCTTTGTTGTTGCGAAGCTTAGATTCTCGAAATCGGTAAGAAATCCACTATTCTGCCAAGTTTCAAATGTAAACAAACATGGCCGCCATGGCAAAAATAATTAGGCTTAGCCGCACTTAAACAACTTTAAAATTGTTGTTATTCTTAAAATATTGCATACAGATTTACTAAAGGCATAAAAACCTTAACCGTAAGATAAGAACAAATTAATTCAATCATTTTGAAATCAAAAATTGTACAATTTACAAATATATAAGAGTAAAGAAACTGAAATCACTGAGCCGGGTAGCAGACTGGATATGTATATAACTATATTTATATACGTTTGATGCGGCCGATTGCAACCAAAATACGAGGTGCACATCTACATGTTATAGCAGTCCTATATATAGTCCTATTTATATATATATAAAATTTCAACGTTCTGAGGCTACTAGTTTTTGAGTTATGCGAGATACGTACGTTCGTACAGACATCACGAAAAATTCTCTTCAGAATTACTTTTAAAGCAGTTTTATAATTTTTTTGGAGGAAAAGAGTCTTTTATTCTGTTCTTACGTACAGATATCAAGCAAAAACATCGGTAAATTGCATTCGATAGCGGTCAAAATGGATATTTTCGTTGAAATATGCTGCCTGAAACTTTTCGCGATTACAATACTTCCTTTTTACTTCGTACAAGGAAGTAAAATCTTTAAAAAAAGAAACAGTTTGTGCATTGACGGTATGTAAAACTTTTGCAACAAATTCACGCTTATAAACGCTTACTTTAACTATAAAAAAGTGAACTATAAATGATAGAAATATCATTTAAATGAGATTTTTCATCCTCCGCTTTAACCGGAATTTGGTTTAATCGGCTTAACTCCGGTCGCATTTGGGCATGGTAAGAAGGAATAATGAGTATTTAATAGCTAAGAAGCATGCATATACGTAGTACATCAAAGTAACGAAAGCAAAAAATTGTGATTTCAACCAAAACTTTAGTAGGATCAGTAAGACCTGAAAGTCGATAAACATTGAATCAGTAAAACATAAAAATAGAGGAATCATGAAAGGTAATTCCAGCAGTTCAGCTTTGCTTATCTGTTAAATTTTTAGGGTTTCGAAATCACTTATTTGCCTATAAAGATCTGAAAACAGTTATTATGAACAAAACTATTACTCAAGGCTGATGTTTCTCAAAATGAGACTACCCTACGAATTTGGTTCAAAATAATGACATAGCAGTGAAAAATGTGCAGTGCCTTCGCCAGACTCGACTCCAAATTTTCCGATTGCTAGCCATACATGCTTTCTAATTACACCGTAAAGGCACACAGTAAGAAGAGAGAAAATACCTTACACTCTTCCCCACTGAAATGGTGGCTGGGAAGGAAGAACTCCAGTTGCCAAATCCTGCCGGTGACGGATTATCGTCTACCACCTTTAAATTCGGGCGCCAGCGAAGATTCGTTTAGAATTTTTAAGCCAAGTAACCAAAGAAACCCACAATGCCCTCCCTGGGATTTGAAATTCGGAACTTTCGATTCAACTGCAACTACAGCACGAAGATATAAACCATAATATCGTCCGGCGACTGTAAAATATTTTGCCTGGGGAGCTTCCGGACTATGTGAAATAATTTGTATGAGTTTTATTAACTTAAAGCTCACCTCTCACTCATAGTTTATGTAGATCTGGGATTTTTAAAGTAGGAGTCGCAATCAAGAAGTAAGATAGATAAAAATTAACGGAGGTTTCAAAAATATTTAAAGATTACAAGTTATAAGAATCAATTATTAATTATATTTTTAATTAATAATTATTAATTATATTAAGGATTTAAAAATGACCTCTAAGTACACAAGTATTCGAAGTATTATCATTTTGAAATTTTATTTACATATAAACAGAGCTTTGCACTTGGTTTAGGATTTGGAACGTGTTTCAAAGACTGACCACTACTTTTTTATTTAATACTATTAAAATCACATATCTTAATTTTTAACAAGTTTGTAAATCATTTTATTAAAACATTGCAGTTTTCGATCAATTAAAGGGAGGAGATTATCATAAGGTTGTAAAACATTTCTTATAATTAAAAGCAGTCATATGAATCTCTCTTTACACTCCAAGTTTTGGAAGCATTGTAGAAATCCACAACTCCACCAGTGGCTGAGTGGTTAAGACCACTGAATGCTGGTAGTTCGACCTGGCTTATGTTCTGACGAATAGGCTGGCTGGTTGGTTGTGTTGGTTTTCCATGTGTAACGTGAATACGAATCAGTTTTCCTTAGCAAGTCCTCCATCTCTCCTCTTACACAGATAGCTCTCGTAGCTTTGTGATATTCAAATAACCTAACCTTTAGAATCACGCAATAAAATTACATAGAATCAATGCATACTTACCAAGCCGACAGGAGTAATATGAATGATTAGAACTATTAGAACTATTATGATAGTATTATGTCAAATATATCTAAATTGCCCCGAAAGTATTTACCAAATAGCGGAAAATTAAAATTAGTATCTTCAATTCAGTAGCCACTCACATAGAGAAGATGATTACCAAAAACATGTCCAATACAACATAACTATTTATGCTCATAAATTTGTATGTTTACAAGAATTTATTATATACACTTTAAGCGTGCACATATGTAAAATAATAAAAGAATACGGTGGCTTTGCTTTTCGCGAACACGCAACCTTTAGTTAACTTTCTGCAATTCAGGATCTTCCCCCTAGACCAGTGCCTTCTAGAATTTGCTAGCCTATTACGTAACCGCTACTATAAATAACGAATGCCCGCCATTTTGCTTCAGAAGCTTTCCTCTCTCTGTGCCTTTAGGGTCTACGCTACTGCGCTTGCTCTCTTTGTTAGAATAAGTTATGACGCATTAAAGTTTAAATACTCTTATTTAGTAACGAATAAATGAGCTACAGTAATGATTGAATAAAAGCTATGGAATAAAGATGTACCATTAAAAACTAAATTAACTTGCCTCTTCATTTGGACTACCCTTACCACTCTGCAAGATTCATGCCTGAACTTTGATGCCGAAATATCATATATATATATATGTCTGATAAAAACAAGATATATATATATGATAAAATCAAATTTATAAAATTTAGAAGTACTGATGTAGAAACATTGACACGTAGAAACGCTGATACTGATGTAATACTGACGGCGCAGTACTTGTGATGAAAAAAACATTTAACTAATGTTGATGGCACAGAACGTTGATCCATAGTTGAAGAGGAAGAATTTTAATTACGTGGAATGCTAAAACGTTGAATCCATAATGGAAATTTGGCAGCCGAGTAAGATTAAATACCCATTTTTATTTCAATTGACATTTGTGGCCATAATTCACTTGGCACTCTAATCATGCCTATATCCAAAAAATTTACATTGATACTAATACGATAAAAAGAGAGTACAGCGACATAGCGTCATTACGGGAAGAGAAGCTAAAGTGAGCAATTATCCAATACGGAAGCTCACTAAGAGAAGGTTTTGGTTTAGGTTAGAAAGATTTCAGTTTTCAAAATTTTGAGTTCATGTTCCGGATTACGATTACTGGCTGTTACTAAATTAAATTATAAAACTGATTTACATATTTTTTATCTTGCATTTATATATATATGTGTGTGTGTGTGTTCCTGATTTTATTCTCTTCATTTAGTGGTTAAATGCCCGCCTCTTCAGAAACCAACCAATGGATTCATAGTTGGAAACTGTGAGTCAACATATGGATCGACATGCTTTTTCATGTGTGAGGACGGCTATGAGCTGGTAGACCAAAGGGATGATACTAGGACATGTGAAAGCAATGGCAAATGGACCAGAAACACGGCTGTCTGTCGTAGTGAGTGATGTTCTAGATATTACTGCAAGCAGCGAAAACTATCACTATTACATAACTTCCTGTTAAACAGTAAAAGATATTCTTTATAATCTGAGTTGGGAGATTATCGGAACGAGGAGCTTTCTAAAGCTAAATATGAGAAAGAGGCGAGCAAAATTAAAAATTGATGAGTTAAAATTTAAGTATTAATTTAATGCAAGCGCTGTTTTAGGGTAGGTGAAAAATGTGCAATGCCATTGGCGGGATTCGAACTCCAGAACTTCCGCATAAGCTTTCAGTTACAACGCGATGGCACGCGGAAGGAAGGAGAAAATACCTTATATCTCTCCCTTTTAAAGGTTGACTGTGGATGAGGTAACCCAACCGTCAGATCCTGGTGGTGACGAATTATTGTCTCTACCGCCTTTTTAATTCAAGCGCTACTTGTAGAGTCATTAGAATTTTTTTTCAAGTCAAGAAACTTAAGAACTCCGCAATGGTCTCGCTGGGATTCGAACTCCGGCCCTCCTGAATATGAGTCGAACGTGCTTCCAGTTACACTACGAAGGCATGTGAGAAGGAAGGAAAAAATACCTTTTAAGTGTTAGTTGAATGCTGATACACCGTGTGTTAATCGCTTATAATGCTAGTACTTTAATACAGGCCTTAAGAAAACCTTATGCAGAATCAAGCAGAATCCACCAGTTTTTTGTAGAGCAAAACTATCACGTAAGAAGTAAAACCTCCGGATTATCTAAAACCTGAGGTGCTAAAATATGGCAAATCATCTTTCTTCGAGCCCATTGTTGTAAAGGATTTTGAAATAGCTCTCTATTCTATATTACCGGACTGAAACATTAGAGAAGACCTACTGAAAACTATATATATGTCATCTTATGTATCACGGTGATTAAAAGTTCCTGATGCATTAGATCTTATTAAAAATATAAGTAGGAACATTACCTTCTGTTAATTTTAATCTCGCGTTTCATTTATAAAACTAATAATATTAAGTTTCATCAATTAATAAAAGTAATTTCTCTGATGTCTTTCCATGTCAATTAAATGATCCTTAGCGGTAACTCCCATGAATTTCAAAATAATTAGTTTTTTCCTAGATTTCATTAAAGTGATGAATTTGTAAAAGGCATTTTTGAATATGGATGATTTTAATATTTAAATTCTTTTTAGAAATACTCATAGGAAATTCTTTAACGAATAGCGAGTATTATAAATTCATATTTGAAATCATATTAAGGTTAAACTCTTCTGCATCGTTAGCTCGCAGGTCTAGAGATCCTGAATTTTGTGAAAAGGGGTGTGAAATATCAATTTTTCAAATTAATTAAATTAATGTGAATTGATGTTTTTGAGCCGGAAATTAGGCAGAGGGTTTTCGTTGAATGTTTTTCAAATGAAAATCAATTAAAAAATGTACTACTGAGTTTTTTTATTTAATTTCACCATAATGTGCATTATAAAGACACCAAACACTACCAGAATATACACTCTGTTGCAAAAAAATATATCCGCACATTTTTTTCAGGGTGCAAAAAAATATATGCACCCTGAAAAATTGAACCACAACTACGAAACGCGACATGCAAATGTGGTTTGGCGAGTTTTGTAAATGATTAAATTTGCAGCACCAATTAACATTGTGGAGCGACACAACACGTTTCTAAAATGCACAGATGGTAAAATATAAAAGGGCAGGTGCGGAGAGTGATGAACATTTAAAACTGCGCTGATGGCTTGGATACATGATATTGTAACGAAACATGAATTTAAGACGTACTCAATGGCTTTACGAGCTGTTGTCAGACTTTGAAAGGGCTAAAAGAGGCTAGATGGTCGAACAGGCGGATCGGCCGGCATATTGGTCGAAGCTATACGATCACTAATCAGTTGTTGGAACCAGTGGTTCAACGAAGGCGTAGTCAGCCGCAATAGTGACTCGGGACATCCCGAGCCACCAGTGTACGAGATGATCGCGGGATTAGAAGAGCTGTCACGTCCGCACCAACAGTTATGCTAATCGATTAAACGCTTTTTGCCAACTCGCAGAGATCCCGGGATACCCAGGGTTACGATTCGCAGAAATCTAAGTAATATTGGGCTTAGATCTCGACGTCCTTAAGACACCTGCCACTGATACTTCACCATAAGCAGTGTCGTCTTGCATGTGCAGCTCTCGCTCAAGCTAGACAGTATGCGATTGGAGAAATGTAATCTAATAGCAACGAATCACGCTTTTCTCTCAATGCTGATTCGTGTCTGGAGAAAGAGAGGTGAGTGGTCCAATGTGCCATTTGTTACTGAACACAGGGTGTGTCAGTCTGGGAAGCCTTTTCCTTCTCAGACTGAGGTAACAGATGGGTCAACCGCCACAGGACAGACTGAACGACCGTTCACCATCAGTCGTGCTGGGAGGTACTCTCAATGTTCGCAGGTACGTTGATGGCATCTTACAGCCGATCGTACTGCCTATGCTAGCAGGTAATCCAGGTTCTGTTTTCCAGCAGGACAACGCTGGGCGACATATAACACGATCTTTCCAGGATAAGCAACAACAACATTTATCTAAAGAATATGCTTCGGCAATAACACTCAACTAAAATAGGTCAAAATGATCGCTGAAATATTGAAAAACGAACTAACTTACCACCTAGCAAAAGAATCTTCTAAAATCTCAACACATATAAAGCTCAAAAATTCGAAAATTGTACATCATATTAGGGCACATGTGGAAAATTAGGAGACATTTCCCATTATTTATACGAATTTCTGAAGAAAATAATCTAAGAAAAATAGGCAAATCTGTAGGATGTGAGGTAAAGTGTAATAAGGAATAACAAGAATTTAAAAAAAAAGCTGTCACCATAATAAAATTTGCGAGTGTAAGTTTATAACTTTTCGTTTTCTTTCGAAACATACAATGTACGAAATGTTTGAAGACCAGAAGTGAATTATCACTATGTCTTATAAGGTATCACAGAGACTGAGAAAGAGTGTAAAGGATCCTCTATTTAACTCAAATAAAAGTTAACAGATGACACCACTCATGCTTACAAATATAGCCAGCATTATGGTTTAAATCGAGATAAAGGATTTGGATTAGTAATAGTAAGTAACTGTAAGTTAGCCTAGCGGCTATGCAAGTAACGTGCAAGTTGGCTCTGACCTAAAAGTCGGCCTGGCAAGCCCAGTGAGAGAATAACGCAACGCCGCGGAATCAGAGATCAGGAGGATCGATATTAGCAACATGCCTTCAGCAGCACGCTCATATTAAATCCCCTAAAACCTTCCTTTAAATACTATTTTCTTTTTAACTTATTTGAATATAACGCAAGCTATAAATTTACATTCTGGCAGGGAAAGGGAGATGAAGCGGATAGGAAAGATCATTAATACAAAATAACTGATTAAAAGCTAAACGGAAACTTGCAAGTTATGTATGAGTATAAATGATTTCTATAACTTCTGCTATGATTTTAGGGTTATTCATATAAATTAAAATTTTTTCTGGTCTTTGGTCCAGTACCTATATTTTCAAATTTATTTCACGACTTTTTACGAACATTACACACTCTGGTTTGTCTTTATTGGTTCGTTTTTGCTGCAATATTTTCCTACTGTCCTGTGTCCATTTTCATTTGCATGCTGGATTATTATGTGTTTATGTACTGTGTCACAGCATTGCATATTTGATGTGATTTAATGAAATAGCCTGATACATGATTTAACGATAAAGAAACGCTTGAATACAAGAAAAACATCAGATAATAACACATTTCCATACCGCCAAAAACCACTTCACTACAACAAGGAAAACAATACATATCGTTTTGCTTGGTCACTATAATATAAAGAAATAATGGTCACTATAATATAAGAAATCCAATAGGCTAACTGCTAATGTTCAGACACCAGGATGGTGCATAACGAGTACATTACTTTGTGAATATTGAAGATATTTTATAGAGGAACGTTTTACACGTTGACAAATGCATCAAGAAATGCACTATAAATGTAATTTTTATATTAATATATTTCTAATGCTTTATTTTAGAGGTTATCTGCCCAGCTCTTCAGAAACCGAGGTTTGGAAACAAGGTCTGCGATTCAGACATGTTGACTGTCGGAAAAAGGTGCAGATTCAATTGTTGGGAAGGTTATATCATGCAAGGATCCGAAGAGCGAGAATGCCTACCAAATAAAAAATGGTCAGGATCAGAAGTAAAATGCTTACGTAAGTATTTTTCTGAGACTAGAAATAAACATACTGCTTTAATGGAAACTTCTAGAATTTTATTTCCTACAAAAATTTCTTTATTATGTGAGCACAAAGAACTTTGTTGCGTGTAATTATATAAATGCTAAGTTGTAAAACACCGAGATTCGGATGAGCACTGCATACTCAAATCTAAATAGAAAAATATATGCTATCATTTTAGATTTGTTAAGAATTTTTTCAGCTAATTCTAAAATCAGTACATATTTTACCTTTTGCGTAAATCCAAGCATAATTTGGCTGAAATTTTAATTCTATCACAACAGCTTTCTTGGCTATGACTTGCAACAGACTAGCCGTTTGAGTTAAGAAAATTTCTTTGCAGCCATGAGCGATTTACACTCTTTCTCACTTTCAAATCGTAGTTAATATATTTGCATACAGTTAAACAAGCATCCTATGTGAATAATAATTAATTAATTCCTTTTTACGTATTTATTTCTAATAGATTTTATGCGGAATATATTTGTAAAAACATTCCAATTTACTCCTAGAATGCTTTCTTAAAAAACAAAGAGCTGAGCAAAACAGCTCAAAAATAGGCCATTTTAACGCACAAAAGTATCAATGGACATATAATGGGCTATTTAAGGAGACTGAGACAATGATCAGCGAAACGTTAGACATTCTAGAATAAATATATTGTATTATCACCATTCAAACTTGTATTTATTGTAGCTATTACATTAACTCCTAAACAAATTACTAAATTTATCTAAAAAATTTAAAAAACACACATTTGATTTCTTTTTGTTCCAGTTCTCGGTATATGGTTTATCAGTAGAGATTAAGTGGACTTACTCAGGGGGAATAACCAAACGTTTTATAGGATATTAGACTATATGCATTTAGACTAACATGGAACCGTTATATATCTTCTATTACATCTAAAAAGTGAAAAAAATAGGTAATATATTTCTATAAAATGTTTAATATTTTGCTCCGATAGATCAAGAATTAAATGCTTTTTTATTCAAATCACTCAGATTAAAATGCAAAAAATAACATTTCAAGATCTCCATCTATTGCTTTTAAATAGTTTAATTTATAATTAATAACAGACAAATTAAATGTGAAAGAATAGTACCTTATGTTTTTCCCAATGGCAACAGACTCGCAGTAAAAGTTCGCATTAAAGTAAAATCGTGTTTAGAGACTTATAGCCTTTTGGGGATAATAATAAAAAAATCTGATGTGTACACCATATGACTTCCTTGTACGGAATATTAAATTATACACACTTTTCTTGCATTTCATTTAAACTTATTGGATTGAATTAAATCTACTTAAACTTATTGGAATATTAAACAGATACCGCATAAACCATAATAGAAGGAATGCACTTTTTAAAATTCACTATATTTTTTTTATCATAGCGACACTTTGGCGCTAAGTTCATTTAACAGCGTTACATTTCGTTCATATTATAACTCAGAATGCACAAAATTTAAATCATTTGAAGAATTATCTAATCGTTGCCACATGTTCTATACAAATACTGTAATAAATCCCAAAACGATGTATAAAAGAAATTAAGCATACAAAACAAAACAGTTTTTCAGAGACGATTCAGTATTTCTCATTCAATGAATTCAGTTCTCATTTCGCGACAAGGTACAAATACATAAAAACTCAAAATATCTATATTAAAAATTACGAAGTAAATCTTAAACGAAGTAATCTTCCTCCAATAAAATTCCAGAAAGGATGAATCATGATTTAATTTGCAATAATACAATGAGGACGTTATCTTTTGTTGTTGCGAAAAGCTTAATTTTCTCTAGATTGGCAAAAAATTCCACTAGTCTGCCAGGTTTGAAATGTAAACAAGCAATGTCCGCCATCAAAAAAAAAAATATTACGGCTTAGCCGCACTTAAACAACTTTTAAACTGTTGATAACTGTATAAATATTGCATGCAGAGTTCCTAAAGGCATAAAAACCTTAACCGGATGATAAGAACAACATAATTCAATCATTTTTAAAGCAAAAAAATGCATAATTTACAAACATTAAGAATAAAGAAACTGAGATCACTAAGTCGAGTAACAGAGTGGATATGTATATACGTATATTTAAATATTTTTGGTGCGGCCGATTCAACCATAATACGAGGTGCAAATCTACATATTATGGCAGTACTATATACAAAATTTCAACGTTCTGAGGCTACTCATTTTTGAGTTATGCAAGATACGTACGCACAGACGTTACAAAAAAATCTCTTCAGAATTCATTTTAAATCAGTTTTATAATTTTTTGGGGGTAAACGAGTCCTTTATTCAGTCCTTACGTACAGATATCAAGCAAAAACATCGTTGAATTGCATTCGATAGCTTTGAAAATGGATATTTTCGTTGAAATATGATGCCTGAAACTTTTCACGATTACATTACTTCCTTTTTACTTCGTACAAGGAAGTAAACTGGTTATATAACAAAATACCTTACACGAATATTTTCTGAATTAATTTCTAACTTTTCGAATTTCTGAGTTTAAAGCTTACTTTATTTAGAAATGTTCTTTTCTAGCAAGTCTTATTACAAGTGGTTGTGATCATTTATAACGAATCATGGTTGTAGTTTATAACTGAAATGTTTAACTGAAAAACATCGTTTTTTATTAGAACAAAATTTTACTATATTTTATCATGAAGCTGCGTACATGTATAATTTAAGTCCATAGGTACAAATTTTCTTACTTAGGTACTTCTTTAGGTAGTTCCTTCATTTTCTTACTTACTTTCTTACTTACTTACTTCTTCCTTTCATTCATACTTACGTCTTACTTTCATTTTCTTACTTAGGAATATGTACTTCTTTCATTTTCTGATTTATGCACTAATTTTTTATGGATTTCCTTTCTACTCTAAAAGTAAATGTATAGTATATCAATTGTCCCTTCTACACTTGAGACTCTCGTTGGATTCATTTATGTCACCATTGCCATTTTGTCACCAAGTAAAACGAATCGTCCCGTTTTTCAGAAGTAGAAGCATGAAATGAAAAACTTAAAGGAAACTTTTCTAGTCGTTTTTCACCTGCTTTTCCCTTTTCTTCTCCTTTTATATTGCTTTTCCTCCAGATCTGTTCTCCTGTTTTTCCAACATTAATATTTTTAATACCCCATTTCTTCTTAGAATGTTGAAGCATCTGACCAGAAGTCACAAGGTAGTTTTTCTCGCTTTTACTGTTTCTTTTTGTTTGCCACGTTCAATTATCAGCTGAAAAGGAGCTGTCTTAAAGGAAAAAAATTTGGATGATCCAACAAGAAGATATTTAATGGAATTAGGTGCATTCCTATGCCAATAGATTCAACCGATTCTTCTTGAATACTATAATCAGCATTAAGCAATGAACGTTGAGCAGGTCAGAGGACTCTTCACATAAGAACTAATTAACTAATAAGCTACCATTAGTGGCAACATTCGTCAGCAGCACTGGCTATTAAAAGAATAAAAAAATAAAATTTATTCATCTATTAGAGTAGAATACATTTTTTAAATACTTTTTCATTACTTTTAGGCCTGGAATTTAAAATAAAAGTAGTCTAATCAAAGAAGAAATTCCTCCATGTAGTACTGAATTTATAAGCTGAAAGGCCCATATCACCTGAACTTTTGGAGGCCTTAAGGCAGGCAATGTTCATTATTTTTTATTGGGAGCTCAAGAGTTCCATTGCGACTGCCATTTAACGCTACCTCATAAATCTGCTTCTACTTCCAAGCATTTGAGAAGCAGATTAAAGTTTGATGTATTTAAAATAAGTACAAACTTTTAGAAAACAGTTGTTTATACTCCTTGTTCAATTGCAACTTGATTTTAGCCTGCCAGCATTCTGATATCAAAATGTACTTTTTTTAAAATTCTTAAACCCCTTTTTTCCTTTGAAAGTTATCTTCTCCTGGAAAGTTAACTGAAATTCTTTACAATTTTGCTACAGAATACTTAATATTTTCTTTTCAAATTTTGACCACCAGATGACAATTTTCAAAAATTTCCTATGCAAATTAGTCAAACCTATAAAGAGACTTGCAGCCAGAGCCAGAAAATCTTCCTGCGTGCCCTTGTCATCGTTAATCATGCCCTTACAGAAGAAATATCGAGCTTTACTGGTAAAACTGTTTTATCAGACCATTGTCTTCATGCAAGATGGAGCAACTCCCCACATTTGGTGCCAAGCCAAAGAACTACTTCGTGCTAACTTTGGCGAGAATCGTGTAATAGTATATAGACCTTTGCCGGATGCCTGGCCTCCTCGTTCACCCGACTTAAATCCCTGTTATTTCTGGTTGTGAGGATTCCCAAAAGACCGTCTTTATGGAGGAGGAATTAGGACTTTACCTGAGTTGAAAGCCATCATTACACGCCAGCTTGCTGAAATCCTTCGAGAATTACTTCGCGCTACCTTTGAACACGCTATAATACGCTTTCAACACCTAATTGATGTCAATGGAGCGCACATTGAGAACATTCTGTAACTGAATAAATTTTAATGGTTCTGATAAATTTTTTGTCCTTCTTTAGGCGCCACAATTCCCCCTGGTGGTCAAACTTTGAACTATTTTTATTGTAGAAATCGTTTCCCCATGGTCGATATGACATACATACCAAATGTCATCGAAATTCAATAAGAAGAACGGGTTCTAGAGTGGTCTGAATAGGGTCACTTTAATTATAAGCATCTTTATCCTTCAGTAAAGAGAACCCCATTTCAGCAAGGTTAAAAAAACACTCACCCAGATTAATTAACTAATCCCTCTTTCTGACTCCTAGATACTTGCTTGAAAGTATCGTTAAGAATGGCCAAACTCATGGGTCATTTAAACTTCTCATCGGTAAAAACGTTGGCCAGGATGGACAACAATAGTTCAGTAGTAGTAGTAGATATTACAACAGCGAGGAAGGAGGTAAAGGAATACAGTCAAACTCTGCGCGTAAGTCGAACTTAGCCTTGGTTCTGGCCAAACAGTCAGCCACTATATTCTCCAGGGCGGCGATTATGCCTTTGTGAGATAATAGATAAGGTATCAACTAATTACTATGTTGTCTTCCAAACAGTGTTTTCGAATTCATTTTTCAGCTTTCAAAACAGATTGCCTATTGTAGGTAAACTTACTATAATAGAATTACCCAATAATACTGCCTAAGAAATAAGAAATCCAAAGTGAACAAGTTTTAGTTTAATTCTCATTTATATTTTTAACGTTTTTTTACGTTAATTTAACCAGTTAATTATGATCCACAAGTGCTGGCTGAGTGTGTCATGCAAGAGATGTGCCTTTTCTGTTAAATTTCTGATTTTAATGAAAAGGTGGTTAAAACCTTTTCAAGGTTCTATGTGTTCAAGGTTCTTCCAGACATAGCGATAATTCGCTGAAAGTCTGACAGGAGTTCACTACTAGTTTATGTTACCGTAGAAAGCCAAACTCTATATATTCATTCCAATCCAAATATTATGCTCATATATAAAAATTCATATTTCAATTTCTTGTAGTCAAAGATCCTGGCTCTTTTGAAATATTTTATTCTTTAATGATGAAGTCGTTATCCCTTTCACTCATGCTCAAAATCTTGAGAGTAAAACGTTGTCTACAGTGCTTTTTCTTGATATCGAACTTTTTTAAAAACCTGGGCCATTTGCTAAAAAATTATTTATTTTATAAATGTTTTTACGTTTTATATAGATATATATTAATGTGGCTAGATTTTTTTACTGACAATAATCCAGGAATCTCGTTTTGTTCTTTACTTTCAAATCCATACTAATTTTTGTTTTATTAGCTCCTGAAGATCATTTCTAATAAAACTATAAACCTACAATAACGTTCATTTTTCAGTATTTTCCGCGATTGCGTCTGCTTTTCTTAACGCTCTGGCTAGTTCGAAGACATAGGTCATAGACCATCATCCATTTCGATTACTGAAAAATATTTCATCATTCAAGAGAAAGAAGTTGTGCAATACTTAAAAATATTTAACAACCGTTTTCTAATATTTGAAATCTTACGATAATACTGATTGTAACGAATACAAATCCATTTTCCAGTCAAGAATCAGAACAAATTTAGCATCGTTTCTTGAGTCTGAGGGTAAAAATATGCCTTACTGTGAATCAGCATGAATCGATCACGGATAACTGAAAAACACGCATAATCCAAACTATCATTTTTCATGGGTATGCTTATTTCTTAAATAAGTAGTTTTATTTTATTTCTAAGAACTTTTGTTGAAAATTTCACTGCGTATTTTTCGAAGTTATTTTGTCATTGCATTCGAATCCCCTTTGGTCGACGAAGTCCAATACATTTCCAAGAAAAATCATTGCTGTCTTGTGACTAATGTAATTGTATCTTCACTTGTATTTTCAGCATCACACTTCCCTTTTCTATTTATTATGACATCTGAAACGATATCGCATCACTCAAGCACTGAAAGGCCGGTTTATTCGAATCGCCATCTAACTATTCCCTAATGTTTTCCCGATCAACATTTTCAAAAAAAAAAAAAAAAAAAAAAAAAAAAAAATTAATTTTCAATTTTTTTGGCATACAACTTTAGTTATTACCTCAACTTCTTCATAATTAGATAATATCCATTTTCTGCATTAGGAAAAATCATTCTACATGCCTGGAACTGAGCGCATTTATTTTTTACATACTCTCGCGCATAACGTTGAATAAGTATATATGACCACCGCCACACACGGATAATCTGCAAAAGCAACAAACCAGATAATCTGCAGGCGGATAATCGAGAGTACATTGCATTTTGTAATTACATGCATTTTATTTAACAAATTATTCTGTTAACAACTATTTTTCTGCTCTAAAATAATTTTACTGAGCGGGCTTATTTATAGCATAAAAATCAAAATAATTTTTAGAAAATATTTTTTAAAATCAAAATAATTTTTAGAAAATATTTTTTAAATAATTCAGCTTTTCTTCTTGTTGCAAAACTTTGTTTTAATATGAGGTGCTAACTATTTTCAGCTGTAAATTGCTTGTATTTTATTGTTAAATGTTTATTAGTTTTATTAATATATGATTTTTAAATTTAAATTTTTGTTTTATTTTCTCAAATGCAGCTGTAGAATGTCCACTCCCACCTCCCATAAGGGACGGTTGGTTATTTGGCTGCACATCTGTGCAGAAACCAGTCTACGGTCAAACGTGCATGTTTCGATGTAACTACGGTTTCGAGCTAAGGGGACCTGAATATCTTAGATGTAATGAAAATGGAAAACTATTGGACAAATATCACAAGGAAACAAAACCTCTGTGTAAAGGTATTAAGTATTAACAAAAATTTATTTTCAGTTGGTGAGCTAATAAATAAATTAATAGAAATAAAACACGCTTAAATTACGCGTTTTGTAATTCATTACAATAAAACAATATTTTTTTAATATTGAAATCGAAGTAAGTGATAGAATCCGAAAGTTAAGACCAATATCGTATAGGAAATATGCATAGAAAACAGATTCAGTGTGATTCGTCGATCTCTACTTGCTGACACGCTGTTTCATCCATTTACATGGATCCGTCTGTACAAGTGAGTCAGAGATTTCGAAGTTAGAAATATGTGATAAATGGCATTTATTAAACAACGTATGCTGTTTACGCTTGGGTAAATCTCTATTAGACATCTGTCAAATACTGAAGAAGATTTGCAGGATTCTGCTATGGGTAGATGCTTAAATCTATGTCCTTTAGACCTTATTAGAGTGACAAGTAAGCTGCCGCTTTAGTCTTAATACATGACAAAGTCTTACAAAAGTTAAAATAACCTTTTTATTCAAATCTTTGAATTAACACAAGGCAACACTTATGCTAATGAATATAACTCCAGTACTTGCGGGTATTTAAAATAACATAAGGTGATGTTAAATTCAAGTAAAATAGTCTGAGAACACACACAAATTAGGCTTCTTAGGCTGGTTCAAGTAATTAATGCCCCTCTTTAAAGTCGGCTAGCAAGACGGTTGCAGATCTAATAAACTTTGAAAGAGCTGAAGATAGTATGTAACTGCAAAAACATTCCAAACTTCCGCTTAAATACAAGCAATTTGCAAGCATTCTGATGAGGACTACGGAAAGAAGTAAAATTTTGCTTCTGAATAATTGGTTAATTAACCTACAAGTTTTATTATGAAAACCCATTTGTTTCATTTGAAAATCTCCAGCTAAATTTCAATTTTTACTGTCAAGAGTTTATCTTAAATTTATAATTTGTTGCTGATTACTAATGAGAGCTTTTCAAGTTACGGTCGCCGCCCGTACGTCACTCGTGATTTCTGAATTTGCCACCAGAAAAGAAACTGTTTTCTTTCCAAATTTCACGCATTCACTGGACACTACCGAGCGTGGATTTCTTAGCGAAAGCAGCCACCGCATGATCATTTAAGAAAATTTAAAATTTTCATATTATAGACAGGATTAATTATCCAATTTTGGTGACTAAGCGCAGTGTCCGCTTCAATCAGATAACAACTTGCGCACATTGTGACATGCTTTAGCATCTTGTGACATGCTTTAGCACGTCAAGTTTCGTTTGTCATCAATGTCATCGTTTCCCAGCGCAATAAGAGTTGGAAACAACAGCTTCTATTGTTATGTATTATTTTGTTGTGTACAATTATTACATATTATTTTACTGTGCATAAGGTATTCTTAGTAAATATATTATTTTATTGTCAACAATGAATTTGTAATGTTTGTATTTAAGAATTAATGCATAATATTTAGTATTGTTTAAATTTTTCGTTCAATTACGGCAAATCTCTTTTAAATTTGGCTCAAGATGTGTTACAGTTAAAAGGGCGCGGGTGTATTTCCGTTTCTTACGAGTCGGCTTCTTGTGGAGGTCAGGAGTCGGACTGCCCAACTGCATTTTCTTCTTTTCGCGGGGTTGACCACATGTTTAGGGTGTGGAGGCGAGAAAGCATTTCTGCCTTTTAGAAGTAGAGAACGGGGTGACGTATTTATTACCTACGGATGTCGCAAGTTTAACAGAATTACGATTGAAAACATTCCTCTGCTGCGTGGGAAAGAAACGGTCTGTCATCTGGTAGAGAGTTCTGAATTTCTTTCTTCTTCTGTAAAGAGTTCTTGAATTTTCCTCGTTGTTTATTACCTTTGTTCTAGTTGGCTGAAGGGAGTCCACGTTGTGTTTTAAGGCTATCTCTAGATTTTTAATGAAATTTATGTGTTTTCAAGTTGGAGATCTGAATTAGTTTTATTTTAGTGAAAGATAGCATGTTACGGAATCTGTTATGGAAATGTATTTTTCGCATTTTGTTTGATAAAATAAATTTTGATTCTAACAAAACACCAGGAAGGATAGAATTTTCTTCTTTGATTTAATAAGTATAATTTTCTTTTATTCAGAGTAGTAAGTACTTAGTTTGAGTTATTTTTATTTCGCGGCGCCAAGAAGTATTCAGTTTAAAATTTAAATTGTCAAGGTAATTTTAATGATATTTTTTTTCCACGTTACACTATTGGAATAATGATTATAATATGCCAAAGAATGTATCATAGTAATACTCTGAATATGTAGGAAGAATTGTATTGTTCAAAAAGTGTTGGAAAATTAATGCATTTAGAGTTATAATTATAAAATCTTGATAGTTATGGTCACAAATCGTGAACTTTTGAATTTAGCTGAGAGAATTTGGGCATTTAAACATTGTGAAAAATTATGACTTCTCATTGCTTATTTCAACTGCATAATTCAGCTTCCTATAATAGATTTCGGCCACATAACTCCTTAATCTGGATTATGAAAATCTTTAAGAATTTTTCAAATAAAAAAAATTTCGAAACTGAAATTTAATTTTAACGATTACCCGGTAATATTGCATTACTTTGTAACTACTCTGATATATAATGTAAATAGGAGCTAATTTCCCTTAGACGTCACAAAATATATTTTTATAAAGATGATAGCGCTTGTATTTTTTATTATTACAAAAATGTTTGGATTATTCTTCAATTTGGAGGAACAGGTTGGCCACTTTTGCGCACATCATTTTGAGCATATCCGGAATATGTAACAAGCAGTAATTATATAAATGTTAATCGATAAAATGCGATAGCTTTCTTCAATGTTGAAAAACAAAACTTGTCGTAAATGAAGTCCAAACGCCACCAATAATAATCAGAGCCAACCTCTTACTCCCATTTGAAGATGAGTAATAAATTCAGCTGAAAATTATATTTCTAAAATACATCCTTTGTTTGGCATTAATGAATTTGCTGAAAAAGCTCTGATTAAGATAACTGAAAATCCAAAGTTGGATTTGAGCAAAATATTAAATTGGTCCAAACCTTCGTATATTTTTTCTGTGCTATAAAAGCAGTATGCATTAAGATCACATTAGAAGATTCTTAACTGCATTTTAAAAATATTTTCATCCTGTTCTTTACAAAACCATGCGTAGCTTTATCAAAGTAATAAATCAACAATTTTAAAAACCTATTTTTGTAAGATAAATACAAAATTAAAAGAATATATTGCTGTATCCTTTTTCATTCTGACAATAAAACATTAAATTAAATAAATGAGTTTTTAGACTTTATGTTGAAAACCTTTTGAAGCTAAACAACTATTTATTTATTCCGAAAGGAGTAAAGATATTAAAGAGATTGTTAAAAAAAATTTATTTCCCTGTTTCTGTTGCTTTCGGCTATACACTGCTGGTCACCCAAATTGCAACACCAAGAAAGACAAGAGATATCACAACAAAATTTATTTAGTAGATAACATGTTGACCAAGTATCAAATGATTAAATTTATAGACTTCTGTGAAGTGTGGTTCCTTCCAGAATCAGTAGCCAGAGTAGCCGCCATTGTTGGAGACCAACGCTGTCACACGCCTCGGCATTGATTCAAAGAGACTTTGGATGTGTTCTTGGGGCACAGCAGACGAAGCTGCTTCCACATGTTGCCAAAGTTGATCTGGTGTGGCAGCTTGAGATGCAATCTGTGCAAATCGTTCAGCAACCATGGACCACATGTTTTCTATCGGCGAAAGATCCGAAGAGCGAGCCGGCCAGGGAAGCAATTCATTCTGGCGATTGACAAAGAACCCTTGGACAATGCGTGCCACGTGTGGTCGAGCATTATCCTGTTGAAATATGCCTGTGGGCAAGCCCTGAAGGTAAGGAAGGACAACTGGCTCCAACATCTCGGAGATGTAGCGCTGGCTGTTTAAATTACCGGCAATGCGTATTAGAGGAGTGCGAAAGTGATATCCAATACCGTCACATACCATAATGCCCCGTGCAGGACCAGTGTGGGGGTGCATAACGCAGCTGTTCAGCGTCCTTTCTCCACGGTGTCTCCAGACTCGAATCCGACCATCGTGGTGTTGCAGACAGAAGCGTGGCTCGTCAGTAAAGACAATTTCATTCCATTCTACCGTCTACATCCTTCTTTCATCGCACCATTGGCGGCGGAGAAGTCTGTGGTTCTGCGTCAAGAGTAGACGGAGGCATGAACGTCTTGCGGACAGACCACTCTGCTGTAAACGGCGTCGAATGGTACGCGCAGATACTGGATGATGCGTTACAGACTGAATGTGCTGTGCTATGGTTCGTGATGTGACTGAGCGATCCATCACTGCCTGTCATCACGTGAAGTGGTGAACTGAGGTGGATGTGATCAAACACGTCGGTCCTTCGTACCCTCCTGCATCAAACGGTCACATATCCGCTTTACAGTTGTTTGGTTTCGACCAACACGCTACCGATTTCCTTGAAAGATAATCCACACTCTCGATATGCCACTATCCTTCCTCTGTCGAACTCGGATACTTGATCAATCGATGATCGCTGTTTACTACGAGGCATCATTGATCTTTTTTTTTTGTTGTTGTTGTTTGAAAAAAACCACAAGAAAAACACAATTGCCGAACTTGAAATCGTCGAAAACTCCAAGCCTTAAATAGCGCTTCGAAGTGGCGCCACAGGCGCGCGTGATGTGCGTTTGCGCTGAAATTCTAATCATTTGCATATCTCACCTCCGCTAATGCATGTTGTAAATTTCATGTTATTTGCATGCTTCCTTCAGGGTGTTGCATTTACGGTGGCCAGCAGTGTATAAAGCATTTCAGAGAAAACCGAGTTCTAAACAAGAGAGTGAGGGAAATCTGTCCACAAAAAATTTCCTTGCAGCAGCAGCGTTTTATACTTCGAAAATTTTCAAGAAATCTATGATTACACTATAAAGAGTTTTCCAAATGTTAACGTCAGAGCTAATATACACCAATTTCTCCTGAAACTATAAGAAGAATGGGTAGATTAACCAGCGAGTATGAATTGTGTAAGAAAAAAATTTCGTAAAGATTAGAAACATTTTGTTTTTTATTCATAAAATAAATTATATATATAGCTCATCATATTAAGCTTGTGTAGCTCTTGCGAATCAGCGAAAAGTTAATATTTTGCTTTATGGTCTTGTTATTGTTTGAGAAAGACGGATTAAAGGGACAAACATAAAAATGGCGCATTTGTATGCGGTTGCATATCTGCAGCAGAATTAAGGAAATCTGTCTTTGTTGAAACCATCATGGATTGTTTCGAATATCTTATCATTTTAAAAGACAGAGAAATATTAGCCTAAAAATTTAATTTAAGTAATAATTCTTAACTGTATCAAGAAGTAACTCTAACTATGCCGCTTTAAATACTGTATATTTGTCCTAGAATTGCCTCACCAGTCTTCTAATTTGAATCCAATAAAACATATTTGACAAGAAGAAAAGAACAAATAAGGATAATGAATGCATCATTTAATTAAAAGTTGAAAATAAAATAAGCGATGAAACAAGAAAGAAATAATATTAGTGTCAACACTAGTAAAGATTTATTAGTTCACTTGATGCCAAATCCGTTGAAATATGTAATAAAATCTAGAAGGTGTACCCGTTGGTGAAATTTTTAGAAGCAGTTTACTCTTCAGTCCTGCCAGCAGTGTTCCAACATTTCTACTGACTGTGTTCTTGTATTATTTCTTTTTAAATCTTAAACTATTATTTTATTACGATTATGTATATATATTTTAAAGAATAAAATAAAATTATTATTTAAAAATTATTTAAAAATTATAGTTCAAGAAAAAACATTTCACTGCTTAAAAGGCCGGACTTGACAATGCGCGATTTGATATTACACTTAATTTTAACCTGTGCATTTCCTTAAATACTATTAATATTTCTTCTAAATATTTTCTTTCTAAGTATTTTCTTCTGAAATCCTTTTTTATTCATTATTAGTCCAAAGGGGCCTTTGTCCCTGAGGGATTACTGTTTTCGTTTTGCGATTTTGCATCAAATCACTCTGAATGTCCTTTTCACTTTTCAAACTGTTGCCACCAAATGTTATCACCCCTGTATTATATTTGAAGAAATTAAATAATGAAGAATCTGCATAAATGCATGTATGTTTCTCGCATTGTGTTAAAACAATGGTACCTAGAGCCATCCAATTTTGAATGACGTAATCCTACTGCAAATATGGGCATCTGGAAGCCCAAATTTGAAATTTGGAATTTGTTTTATTATCGATTTCATATTTTGTAAAACTTTAAGAATTTTTTATTAACAAACTCAAGGATTTCAAAGCGAGTAATGGCAACGTTGTACAGAAAAAACATTTTTATCACCAGCGGGTAAGACTGTGTATCGGAAATTCTAAAGATATGCTCAGTTTAAAAGTATTTTGCGATATTCCTGTTGAACTGAATTTTATGATTTAAGTGCAAAGAACATGATATTTAATAAATAAAGGTAACAAACAAAATGTTAAAATAATTGCTCCTTTGGACGTAATTTAAAATCTGAAACCTTTCAGACTTTTAAACCTTTTTTGTTTTTTTAATTTTGAATTTCGTATTGTATAATATCAAAAAATTATCATTAATAAATTTGGTGTTTTTCAGATGTTCTTAAACCAGAGATTTTGTGTCCTAAACCTATTAGAATTTACTCCGAAAAAGGCAAAAACGGCGCTACCGTGAAATGGTACATTCCTGTACCTAACGACAACAGTGGCTTTGCTCCTAACATGTATACCGTTCCACCAAACATAAGTCCTCCGGCTTTCATCTCAATCGGAACGACAGTTATCCAATATGTGGCTGTTGATTCCTCCGATCTGAACGCTACCTGCGATGTCCGAATTGAAGTAATAGGTGAGCTCATTACTTTCTTTCTTTTTTTGTTAAAGATATAAGTATTTATTTATTTTTTCTAGCAAGTTATTATGTTAAGTAGCTTTACTGCTATTCTTCCTTTCCGTTTTCCTGCCGGAAGGCTAATTTTTAGTTCGCGAGTATTCAAATGAGATAAACACAGATAGTATTTAAAGAAGAGTTTTAAATTATTTAATCAAACCGTGATCCGCCTGCTGAAGGCCACATCTGTAACTGTTAAGTCCAAGATAGTAGTCTGTCTTCGGCGCTGCGTTATTCTTGCCAATAGTGCTTGTCACGCCGGAATAGGCTTGAGTCAACTTGCTCTTTGCTTATTTCTGTGTAGCCTTTGGCTAGCTTACGACCTCATTTTAATTTGAATTTCTAGCATTTTGAATTACGCTATAAATGCTGACTGGTTTGTAAGCAAAAGGAATGCCTTCTGTTAAATTATTTTGAGTTAAGAACAAAAGGTTCTTTTACACCCTTCTTCATCTTGGACACAGCGATAAGTCGCTTACTCATCTATCCGAGGATTTGCAACAGTTACATTTAGTTATACGCATTTCCTAGAAAGATTAACAGTAAATTACTTTTTGATAGGTCAAATGGCTGGATATTTATTCTCTAATACCAGCATACAGAAAAACCGGCACTAAACAGATTTAAAATAAAGCCACTTCATTTTATATGCTAAAATTCCTAATATCGATCTACGAATAACTGAAAAAGAGATCGACAGTCGTGAAACAGCTCTGTACAATTGTATTAATGCAAGAGAACCATAAAAAGAACTCTGCAGAGGTTTTGAAAACCCGTATGCAGTGTACTATTTAAAAATAACGTTTAATAATAACAATACCTATATACATTTTCAGTTCTTTACTTAAAAAAAAAAAAAAAAAAAAAAAAAGGGATGTGCTTAACTTTTTTTTTTATTTGTGAGCCATGGTGACATGATCTGATTCAGTGTTCAGAGAAATATCGTAATGATTTCAAGACCTTGAGATCATCTGATTCTTTGAAATATCTTAGCGTATTGGTTTGTTATTCTCAGTCCTTAGTCAGAATGGTTTTCTTTCCTTTCTTGCTGGAAGACCATGTCATATTTTGAAGAAAATTAAGATCCATTTCCTTCAACTTTTGTATAACTCTTCTGAGAAAGATCTCTAATTCCCCCTTCCCTGTTCTTATACTTCAGATTGTTTATTATAATCAACACATTTCGCTCGTGGGAGTCTAAATGATATTTAGTGGGTTATTTTGATAAGCGACAAAGGAGAGTAATATAGTATTATTTAAACTATTCGGACGTTATGAATTAGAGCTAGGTACAGCTATCATCTCATCATCATGTTTTTCTTCGATATATCTGGTATATTTAACTTGATAGAAAGACAGATAAAAGTATATAAGGAATTAATATGCACAGATGATAAATAGTATTGTCTCCACACGTCGTCTCACTAGGGCAAAACGTTAACTTAAGTAAATCGAGTGCCATTTATTGAGCGTTGAATTTAAAGCTATCTTTGTTCGTCCCATAGCGCAAGTCTCACTCACAGCAGGTGCCCGGTTCATCCGAGCGCCCGAATTCTTGTTATTGAAAATGATTATCTGAAGTGAGAAATGTATGCATACTTTTCATATGCGCTAAATACACTTTATAGATTTATTTAGTGCTCTTACGTTTTGAGCGTGAATATTTTTGCAGCACACATAATTTGATCTTTTGATTCTCTTTGACATGGGACATGATTTATTAATTAGATCACATATATTTAATAATACATGAAAACCATCTATTGTTAGGTATATTCTTACGTAACATATAATCTTTCTTTGGTAATTATAGTTCACACGTAATGTAACATTATACCTCAACATTTTCGTTCATATACATATGCGCATTGTCGTTTGGCTGTTTTTTCCTTCATTTTACTGGTAAAAGAAGGAGAAATGCCGGTACCCAAGAAGGTAACACTTGAGAAAAAGATTCAAGCTTTTTTTAGGGGGGGGATAACTCTGGCGAAAAGTCTGTCATTTCCATTATTAGCGAAATGGAAAACATATTTTCCAGCATTCAAAACGATAACTTTTCCCATTATAAAAATCTTTCCAATCAAAAACCGAATTTTTTGCAGCTCCATATGAGTGTGTTTTGAAAATTAATGGTGAACTTCTTTTGAATGCTGAACGAAAGGCTTGAACCATAGGGTTTCTTTATTAACTTTACAGCGATTATTGCAGCTTTATTTTTTCCCCTTTTTAGCAGGTTTCCTGTTTCATATCAGCGAAAAGTTAGATATAGGCTTCTTTTTTCCCCCTTCTCTTGTAATGCTTAATATGAACTCCTCATTATTTTATGATATGATTATAATATGATTTGATTATTATATTTATTTCCTACCAACCCATAAATATCAGGCTATTGTAATCGCTTAATTAAATTGTATGTTTGCCTCCTTAAATCTAAACGCAAACACATTTTAGATATGTTCAACATCTTTAAATTTGGAAATTAGATTTGGACATAATACCCTAATCAGATCAGTTTAAATAACATGAGAGTCCATTTAATTAAATTTCATCTTCTTGATTCGGTTACAATTATTGCGCTAAGTTTTTTAAAGAACGCTTGCTATATATTACAAAACTAAAAAAACTCAGTGGCGTAACAGCCCTAGTGGGCCAATGCCTGCAGCGCCCCGAAATCTGCTTTCTTGACAGCGGGCCCCGGAAGCATATGCCCTGAACAAGTGGTCAGCGTGTCGCAGGACCACCAGTGTTTAGTCCCTAAGAGAACTTGGTACTCATTTTATCGACCCAAAGGATGGAAATCGAGGGATGAAAGGTTGAGTCGACTTTGCCCAGCCCGGGGATCGAACACCGGACCTGTGGTGCTGCTGCCCGATGCGCTAGCCGCTGCGCCACCGAGCCTTATATAATACAATAAACGATTTAAATAAACACCCACACATGCAGAATTGTGAACAGGCAAAATATTTCTTAGACGTAAAATATAATGCAAGCCTTTTATTTAAGACTAGATATTTAGTTACCAAGTCTATCTTTCTTCTTCCTTTCTTCTCTTTTCAGAGAACAACATGAAAAAATAGTTTTGATGTAAAAAGTGAAATTTGAATATTTTGTTTGTTTCCAGTTTGTGCTTTACTACTGCAGCATTAATTTTTAAATTCTACAAGAGAAAATATTGCATTAATTATACGAAATTTGGGTGCAGTTAGACATATTTTTGGAATTTTTAATTTTAGGATGAAATAAATTGATGTTAAAAGGTCAAAAACATAAATACATATTTTTAAGGTTTTCCATTTTAAAATGCAAAACATTTTTACAGATAATGAACCACCAACTGTGTTAAGATGTCCTTCAAAGGTCGAGGTCAGTACCAGCGATACGGGTGCGAAAGTCTTCTGGGAGGAACCAGTGTTCGTAGACAACAGCAAAAGTTCTCTTTACATATACCAAGTAAGTGGAAAGATGTGTACCATTCATTCCTACTAAGAATGTTGATGGGATTTATTAACTTCAATTATTATATTTATTTATTGTTAGTGAATAACATAATTGAGAAAGATTACTACTGAAAATAATGTTGGAAGTTATTAACCTCGAATATTATATTTTATTTACTGTTAGTGAATAACATAACCGAAAAAGGTTACCATTGAGAATCTGATAGAAGTTATTAACTTCAAATGTTATACAGAGGCTGTTCGCAGATTTTTCAGACGATTTTCGTTGTATTTACATAGATATTTTACCTAAACTTTTTTTAAACCCTTATCCTTCACTATCTTTCTATACCAATCTTTCTATATCTTCTGTACTTCACTATCTTTTCGTATTTTCTATACGAAATTTCCAAGACAGTAAAACTTTTTTGCAGTATCGGAAGAGGTATTTTATATCATTCTTCTCGAACAGCTTTCCAAAGTTCAAGGAGAGTTGTAGGTCGATGTTTGGACAATCCGCTTTTTAAAAGTCCAGAAATGCAAAAATCCACGGATGAGATATCAGGAGAGTAGAAATAAGAATGAAAGAGTGTGGCCTTGATACCCGTTTCTTGTTCCATTTTTTCCAAGAAATTAAGAATAGATTTTGACGTGTGGCTGCTTGCTTTGTCTTGATGCAGTTTTACTGGTTGATGGCGCTGTTGGTAAAGAAAAGGGATCTGGTATTAAAAAATTGGGTATCAGATATGTTCCTGATAATATGTGGAATTAATCTTAACATTTTTCTCGCTCTCTTTATTTTTAAATTGCCGTTATATAAAAACCAGCAACATTCATAAATCCCTTTGAAGAGCTTTTTCTTTAGATTCTTCGAACCATGTTTCAACATTTCTTCTCCTCTTTGATGATAATAAATGGATCTCATTTTCTAGCAATCATTTAAATACACCCAAGATTCATCTATTGTGACAACATTTGTTTACATTTTCATCGAGATAACTGTTTCTCATAAAGAATTCTGCAGCGTGTTCTGGCGATATGACGTGAAGAAAGTCGCAGCACGTTACATTTTTCGAATTTTTAAGATTCAAATCAGCATTATTCACTTTGTTTACAGTTAAATAAGAGCATTTTAGAGATTTTGCACCTGTTCTTTGACTTGGCGGTTTCTCTTTTAACATTAAAGAGCTTACCTTTGCGTCATTCAAAACATTCCTTCTTTCCTTGGATAGGTATTTGAAGCAATTTTTCCTCTTGAAGCCAAACATGGACCTTTTTTTCCTGTCTTGTTGACGATAATATCTATTTTAGAATTAGACATCAAAAACCCATGGATTTTACAGGGTTTTTTAACAACTAGATACGAATTCGGAAAGTGCATAAACATAACCTTGCGTCCATTGCCTTTTTTAAAAGCGCTATTTTGCATAAAACAAATCTGTCAAGTAGCAGACGATAATTTATACTCTCAAAAATATAGATGCAGTTAAGAAAATTTTTTTCAAGCAGACGATTTTTTAATAACAAAGCAAAAGCGTCTAAAAAATGGGCGAACAGAATTTTATTTGTTTAAAATTAATACAAAAGTATCAGAATCTATGATAAAAGAAGAGACTGCAATTTTCGCACCTTTAAACTCATCAGCTGGAATTATAACATCTCCAAGAAAGTTATATTGATGTTATTAATATCCAAACTTTTAGAATCAAAAGAATTTGCAATGAAACATACTATCTTCAAGAAGAAATACAGAACCTTATTAAAATCCTGTTAGAAAATCAAATTTCAAAGTTCACAATATTGTACACTTTAAAAAAAGCTGGCATTAACTTTATTTTTCAAATTACTTATTTACAGTGAAATGATATATTTTACCCAAACCTGAAAAGAAGGTAACTAGTAGATGACGTTTACGACTAATTTAATGTGTATATGTAATTAAATTTCTCTTTGAATTTGGCTAGAATGAAAAGAATAAATTCTTTGCTTACTTTTTGGAATTTCTGGAAATTCTATTCTTTCACTAAGCAAAAGGGCTTGTTTGGATTACCTAAGACGTAGACGTTTTTATAGCTTTATTTCGTGAAGAATTACGACTTTTTTAACCCCTTATTTCATTTTTCCTGTGCTTTTCGCCAGTTTTTTAAACTACTATTGTTAAAATACATCGTCATCTTAGAAGGTTTTTCTTAAAAGACAAGCAACGACGCCCATGTCTAAAAATGACGCCCATGTTGTTACTTGTTACCTCCTCCTGGTGTCCGCCGAAAATATCGCGACAAATGTATAGCGGATGGAAACAACGCAAGGCGAGAACGTCGAGTTCTAAAATATCGTTGTACAAAACAACATTTATTTTTGGAATATTTTTGCTTTCATATTTCATGCTTTTGAATTAACTAATAAATTTTTGCTAGAAACGTAAGAATCAAGTTCAAAAACGTAAAATGAGTAGAAAAATAATGCTTAGACATATCAGTTAATTGTATCTTAATACAGTTAAGCAATAAAGGTCATTAATAAATTAATCTCTTTTATAAAGTTTTATTTGTGATTTTTCATGCAAAATGCGCTCTGAAAAAGATTAGAAAAGGAAAGATGAGTAACTCCTTATGGTAACCTCTATTAAATTTGCTTAATTATTTCTCAAATTATGATATCTGTTAACTGTTATAAGTATCATTAGTTTTCCAGTCAGTTTCAGTTTCTGAATGCTTAAGTTTCCTTCCTAATTTTTCAACAAAATTTATTAATTTATTCAAAAATATAAAAAAGAATAATCCCTCAGTCTTTCTTACGCTTACAAAATATTATGCAAATATGCATTTATAACTTTTAAAGCCTGGAAAATGCATGTCTGCGATGATTTTGTAGGTGTTTTACTTTTTACCACGATATTTTTGACGACGATGTTTTTAAACTGCGAAGTTTTTGATTAGCTTTATATTCGACAACGATGTTTTGTACTACGATGTTTTAGAACTGCCATATTTTGTCCTTGCTTTAATTTCTCCCACGATATTTTGTACGACATTTTCGCCTTGCGTTGTTTTCTCTGCGAGGTTTTCGTCCACGATGTGCTCGGCTGTAACCCCTCTTCTTAGTGAGCACCCCCCACCCTCATCCTCTTTCGGGTTTGGCTACCAATTGCTTCAAACCAAGAAAGCACGGGATTTTTTTTATGATTTTACGTCTTTTGCTATTCGACTGTGGAAGAATTTTTTCATTTACCAGTATCCGGTTTTTTTCAAAATGCGTTTCAAATTCTGGCAACCTATCAGGCTTCTATACTTTTAGCAGTGGAAAAATACTGCTGATGTAAGTTTTCGGAAGGGTAAGTTTTATTTCTTTCTATAGTTTCATTGTTTTCATTTTAATAATTTTTTCCCTTTTTTACAAGATTCGCTCTAGAAAATTGCAATTTTTTTTTAATTCACAAAAAAGTTGATACTTTCCTTTACATAAATGAGCCAGCCCTAGTATTAGGATATAAATACATTGATTGAACAATTTATGTTTCAGTTTTAAAGTTAAACTGATTCATTAATTCTGTAATCAGAATTAGATTTTTAATTTGTCTTGAATTTAGTAAGTCTGTAACCTTTTTAGGCTTCTTCAGATTTTAAAATTTTTTTTGCACTTGTATATAAATTTTTATATTATTTGAGTGCGAAGGCGTGTAGGGAAAAGACCTGAATTTTAATAGACTTGTAAAATAAATTTTGTTTGATTTGAAAGTTGCATTAATAAAAAGTGGTTTGAAGTCTCAAGGGATTCAGAGAACCGAAACAGGTTTCCGACATTCATTAATCCACTTGGTTTAAGGCTTCAAAACACTTTTCCCTTGTCAAGTTCTGTTTGAAGCGTTAAACAAAAGAGATTAAAACTTTTATTATTTTTTGTTTTGTTTAGTTCAAATTTCCTGTATTTTATATGATTTTACTCCTTGAAGTGTACATTATTTGATCACAATTTTGTAATTTTCTTTAATTTGCGTTCTACCAGTTTATAATGTAACCCGGAGAAATTAGTTTGGACCTTCAAAAATTTTTATTACGAAATATTATTCTTTCTCGTTCCGATTTTTTTGATTTATATATATAACTAATATATATATAATATATAATATATATATATATATCGACGAACCAAGAAGGAGCTGTCCGATGAAGACAAAAATTGGTGGGAAGATCATGTACAGAATAAAAAATGATTAAAATTTCAGAATAATTGAATGATTTATTTCAGAGTTACATAGTTACAAAGTAACGAGCTCAATATGTTGACCTACCTTTAGCCTGGGCGCAAGCTGCCACACAGCATGGCATAGACTGATAAAGCTGCAAGAGAGTCTCCTGCGGTATTTCTTGCCAAATTTTCTCCAATTGTTGGCCTGGGTCATCAACATTCCCTGGTAGATGCAGTCGCCTTCCCATCATATCCCAGACATGTTCGCTGGGAGAGAGATCTAGCGATGTGACTGGCCAAGGAAGTGTTTGACAAGCTGTAAGACAACACGTGCCATATATGGTCTGGCATTATCTTGCTGAAAAGTAAAGCCAGGGTACTGCAAAGGGAACGGTGGCAAAACAGTCTCAGAATGTCGTCGTAGCGCTGTGCTGTAAGTATGCCTCTAATGACGACCAAAGGCACCAAAGAGAAATGGCACACCAGACCATAACTCATGGTTGAGGGCCTGTGTGGCGTGCAATAGTGAAAGCAGGATCAGCACACTGCTGTGGGCGTCTCCAGACACATTTTCGGTGATCGTCATGACACAGTTAGAAGCGGGATTCATCGCTAAAGAGTATACCTCCTCAGTCAGCATCATTCCAACCTGATCGAGCCAAGCACCACTGTAATTTGGCTGGACAGTGTGAAGGCATGAGTGGCAGGTGACGTAACGGTCGGTACGAGCATAGATTTCGCTCTATCAGCAGTCTGTGAATGGTCATGATAGACACTCGTGTGCGTGTTGCAGGTCTGATGGCTAATAGAGATGAATAAAGCGCTGTGACAACTGATCTGACAATAACTCTGTCCTCCCGATCTGTTGTGGCCCTAAGTCAACAGCTACCATCATGACGCTGAAATCTCCAATTGTCCACCCATTCTTGCCAGCATCCTCTAATCGCCGCATCGCTTCGACTCATATGACGAGCGAATCTCCGATTTACCCAATCGGCCTCTTTCAATCCAATGATAAACTCTGAAAGTTTCAGCCTCTTTTAAACTCTGACAGTTGCTCGTAATGAGCTCGAATCCTGCGGCGAGGCATTTTTTCGGTCGTTGAAAGGTATCTTAAATCGCAATGCAACAGAAATTTTTAACCAACAGTCCAAGAACAGCTCTTTATATACATTTGCTGGATGTGCAGTTCCGATGATCTAGAAATCGCAGTATTAATTCATGGGACACCAAATTTTAATCATTTGCTTAGTTGGTCAAAACATTTACGCATACGAAATTTCAAAGCAATCGGATGATTCCCTCTTGGTGCGTCGATGTTTTTGTTATAGAGTGTATATATATATATATATATATATGTTAAGTAGCATTGATTCTTAATTCAACCATCCATCTGTATTGCAATTTTTGAAAAAAAAATTGAAAAACGAATTAACTAGAGAAATTAAAGAATGTGATAATCTACATGATGGTAATTTGATAACATAAATATGCTGAACTTGTCTAATACTAAATCATTTACGAGGAAAATCACTGTATTAAAATTACTGCTCTTGTAAGAAAGAAATGAGATTTAGCTTGACAAAGGTTAAATAGCTTCAAAAAAGTTTCAAATAAAACTTTTAAAAAAATCCCGGTTTTGTTTTTTTCCCCCAGACAGATAGACCTGGGGACAGATTTGCAATAGGCCGCCATACCATTTCATACTCAGCTTCGGACAAGGCCAAAAATACAGCTCTTTGCACATTTGATGTCATTGTAACACGTAAGTTTATAATTTAAATATAAATTATTTTAATCTATAGTGTCTATAGATTGAGACTATATCATGATATTCTAAGTATTTTAGCAACTATAATTACATGCCGTTGTTAAAAGTTATTAAATATAATTAGATGATAATGGTAGCTATAATTAACAAGATTGTTTCGCAGCTCGTTATTCAACTAAATGTTCACAAATTCCGTTATGAGGATACATAACATAAGATAAAATATATAAGAATTTTCATTCCATTGGTCTATTATCTAATTTTTAAATTTAAAATTGATTAGAAAACATTTTATTTCAAAATCATAATGCCTTCAAATTATTTTAATAATCTGTCATAAAAACATTTTGTAACTTAAATATTTTAATCACTAATTTTTTAAGGATAAACTGAGTTCTTTTGTAATGAGAAAGATATATGTAAATCTTTTAAAGTGTATGAGAAAGCAAGTATTTTTTAATTTTTCTGAAACTGAAATATATCAATTTCTGAATTTCAGAAATTTCAGAAGTATATTAAAAAATGATTTTTAATGATTTCTGAAACCTCGATTATAACCTGACCCCACATTCAATAATTAAAATTTCTCACTATTTTTCATCGGTGATTATTGATCAAATGAATCATCAAAATTATTTCTGAGAAGCTCAAAACTCACTAGTAAAATAATAATAATAATAAACTAATAATAGAATAACGCTTATTTCTACGCAATATTTTTAACTCTTAACACGATTTTGTTTTATATAGTCAAAAAAACCCATGGTTGAAAATTGATTTGGCTAAATGGGTTAAGGCCACGTATTCATGTTAAATCAAATCATCAAATTTGGGAACTCCTCAAAGTAATTAGCAGTCATTTCAAAATTTTTAGGATACTTATAGTTTTCTTTTTTGTAGTAGGTGTTTTTTTCAGCATCATTACTTCCTGCGTATTTATCGCGTATTTTTCCCTACTTATTTTATCGCTTAAAATCTGAAATGGGAAGAATGGCTGGTATATACCATTTCTGAAGAGAGGGTTTAAACGATAAACATAAACATAGCACATTCAAAAACACATTCTAATATTATTATATTACCCATTTTGAAGGATATACGCCTTTTATTTACACTAAATACTTAGGGTACATAAAAAAATGTATTTGTGCATACACTTTCCATAGCGTTAAAAAATTAGAAGCAGAATTACGCGAGATGGGAGAAATATGCAAATAAATACGGTATATCATTTGTCTAACAACTTTTTAATTCGTATTTTTAGAATTTTCAACTACATTACTGCATTATCTTATATTGCTTACAATTAATGCTTTCGTTTCTAAAGTGGCAATGACGATATTTTCAGCTAGAAAATCCCAATGTAATTCGCTTACATATTATTCTTTGAATTAATATTAAAATATTATATACAGTTTTAAATTATTGATGGGTTGATTACAATCATATTATTTTGTTTTAAATAAAGACATTTTATGTGTTATTGAACACCAGAAAGGATCTCATTCTTCTTGCACATCTAACAGGTACTCCATGTGCTTATTACCCAGCCCCGGCTAATGGAGCTTTCACCTGTAATGATTGGCTTACCGGACAATTCTGTCAAGCTTATTGCAATGACAGATTTGATTTTGTTTTCAAACCAGCTGAGTGGTACGTTTGCGATAGCGAGTCCCAATGGATAACGTTACCACCAAATATGCCTATACCTTGGCCTGATTGCGCCAGTAAGAATTTCCTCCGTTACATTTTATAATCATTGTCGTCTATATATATTGTATTCAAGATCTGTTTGCTTATTTATAGTTATCTCTTGAATTTAGGACCATCCATGCCCGGTAAGGTACGGCAGATGGTAACAGGATTTTATTACAGTGGTGACTGCAATGACCCTAGAGTACAGCATTTCATAAAGAAACTCTTCCTCAGCCACTTCACGACAAAGATACAAGGTGCTGAACTATGTTTTTCTAGAGGAACATGTTCTTTTGAAACTGTGCAAGTAAGATGTGGTAGATCAGATCCAAATTTAATCTTGAGAAAGCGTCGTGATGTGTGGGAATACGCGGAGAAAGAAGAATTGGAGATTGAGTTTGAAATAACAATTAATGTCGACCATGAGGTAACAATATTCTATTTTTTTATGTTAATGGCTAATTCACAGTCTGTTATTATTCGTGGAGAATGTATTAACTTTCAGTATTAATTGAGATTAACTCAATATGTACCTGCAGTCCCATACCTGATAGCAGTCAATTTCGTATTTAAAGTTTTTTTTTTTCTTCGGAATGGGAGGGTATCGTCTAAGCCAGCATACTGCGTCCATTATAGATTCAGTGAGATTAAGAAAGATACTATTAGGGAATCGAACTAAATTATTTTAAATGCCTCGAATAAAATTTCTTCAATTAATATTTCGAAGATATTTTCTCTCTTTTCAGCGAGTGTTTTCGAGGTGTAATTGGAAGTAAATCAAGTATAAATTTCGTCTCCAAGCTAAATAGAAAATGATTGTCCCATGTGTGAAAGTATTTGTGAAAATGCATAGCTACGTCTTTATTAAATAATTTCTATGTTAATTCTTAATTCTTTCTTTACTAAATCTCCGTGTAGCGATAATTTACGATAAATAAAATCATAGCAAATCTCTTTTCTACCATTTGGCTAAACAGCTTGATTTAAATATAAGATTTTATATTCTACATCTTTAATATTTTTGAGGGCGTGGGACTAATTCTTAAGCTTAGACCTGTTTTAATTCCTTAAAATTGTTTCGAGTATTAAAATCAAATCTACTTACTAAGATCAGCTTCCTTATGATTTTAAATTAAAGTACTTTTTTAACTTTTTGAAATTTTTAAACCTTAGAGACGTTAGTTATAATCTGAAGTTTCAAGATTGCAATTCTTTTTTTATTTAAAGATTTAAACATTTTTGAATGAAGTAAATTTAAATAGTATTTGCCTTTCATGTGGTTGAAATTTAAACTGTATTTTGCAACATCAGTTCAGAAACTCAAACTAACATCTGACATTATATTTTAATGCATTTATGATTTTATCACCATAAAAATACGCTGCGAAAAACTTCACAGAGTTTGCCTTTCAAACAGCTAAAATTTCCTCTAATTTTCGACTTTAAGGGTTTTTTTTTTTTTTTTTTTTGTTTTAAATTTTATTTTTATTCGTGTACGCTTTGTTTCTGCCTCACCAGACATCTGTCATTTAGAATACGTTCTTTACTTAATTTGTTTGTCAAAGCATATATTTAAGAAGATCGGTAGATTGTTGTTTTATGGAAGCATTTGTCGTTTTTATTATTATGCAGCTATTTCATTAGAGTGATCGCATGCGAAAGTTAGTCGAGAATTTAGTTTTAAAATTTAATACATTTATATTTTGACTCTTCTATAAAACTTGAGTACAAACATAAAGTACACTGCTGGCCATTACGTGTGCCACACTATGAAGGAAAGCAAATACAAAAAAGATATTTATTGTACATAAACTGTATGGCATGAAGATAAAATTATTAAATTTGTAAGAAGTTTGGGGTTTACATGGGCGCAAAATTAGTAGAAACAGCTACCACCCTTGGCTTCTAAAACGACCCTTACCTGCTTAGGCATGGAATCGAACTGGGCTTGGATGACAGAAACGGGACACTTATTCCATGCTGCTTCAAGTCTATTCCACGCTTCATCAAACTATTAGCTGGAGAGGGGTGGCGGGCCAGTCTCTCAGCAAGCCATGACCAAATGTTTTCAGTGGGTGACACATCTGGAGACAGTGCAGGCATAGGCAGCAATCAAATACCCTGTGTATAGAGGAAAGTCAGAATATGACGTGCAACATGTGGTCTTGCATTATCTTGTTGAAAGATGGCGTTTGGCAGGTCTCGAAGATACGGTACAACCACTGGACGTAAGATGTCAGAAATGTACCTATCTGCGTTCAAATTACCTTCGATCCGAACTAGAGATGTTAAATATTTGCATAAGTCGCCTGTAGTAACGGCAACCGCCGGCAATAAAAGGAGGTGCTTTCCTTAGTGGCACTGCAGTTCCTTTTAGTTCGAGCCAGAATAGACCTGCCCGGGGAGAAGCCAGGGATGAGAGATTCCGGTTTCGCCCTGTCCGGTCCCGTCTTGTCCAGTCCTGTTCCGGTCCTGATCCAGTCCTATTCCATTCAGCGTGGCCGTTGTAAGTCCAAAACACGTAGGAGCTGAAGTCTGAATCGAGTGAAACTAAAATGGAGATGTATGCCGAAAGGGCTAGATGGATTCTGCTTTAAGGAAAGGGTTCTCACCGTGCCGGCATAGCTGACTTTAAAACTTTGAAGTTTTTCCACCCAAGTGTTAAGTTTTGGTGTGATGTTAAGTTTTATCAGTGTGAAGTTCCAGTTAAAAAACCTTAAGTTTAGAAAGGTTTTGTGTTCTCAGAAATTTTAGATTCGAAGTCAGATATAGCACATAGGGTTATCATCGGAAAAATCAACAAGAGATGTGCGTGTCGTGCACCCAACAGCTGCCTAAACCATTACACCAGCTGAAGGGTCCGTGCTGATATCGAATGCAAGCAAGCGACATACTGTCTCCTCGGAGCCTCCGCACACGTATACGCCATCAGAATACGGCACCAAGAACCGGGACTCGCCTGAAAACACGACGTTGTGCCACTCCGTTATCCAGCTTTGTCGTTCGGCACATCAGAGTTCCCGTCTCTCTCTATGCTGCATTGTCAAGGGAAGCCGAAGTAATGGTCAACGTGTTGATACTCCCAGCACCTGCAAACGTTGATGCACCGTACGAGCGGATACTAGGCGTGCTACAAACATGCCCGTTTTCTGACTAATGGTCCGTGATGTGGTTGTACGATTTTGCTGGGCTGACCTCACAATATTTCTGTCCTCTCGGACGTTAGTCATAGGAGGGCGTTGAGATCCTGCATGCCGTTCAGTATGACCCTCAGCAATACATTAATTCAATATTCACATGACAGTGGTTGGATGTTGACCAGTGCGCCGGCGATATCACGGAAGGATAATCCACACTCTCGATAGGCAATGATCCTGCCTCTATCGCATTCCGACAGTTGCTGGTAGGCATTTATAATTATTATTCGAGACATAACACGATATTCTGAGCAAACTCTGACCTTTCAAAGCGCTTTCCGAATGAGGAATCCACTACACAACTCTTCCTTTATGCAGACCTTCAGATGTCGTTTCTCCCTCCTGCTTCGTCTAAATGGGCTGAAGTACTAATTATTCCAACCTTTTCTTCCTTTGTGATTTTGACGTTCGTCTGATTTGACGTTCGTCTTCCTGGTGTTGCAATTTTAATGGCCAGCAGTGTAATTAGTGTTTATGTGGGGAAATTTAAAACCTTCATTTCAATTCACTAAAACAAATGTTACATGGAAAAAAGGGATGAAAATTACGAAATGTTTGACATTGTGCTAATTTTAGCAAACATTGCATTAGTGTAAAATAATTTGTATTTTATTTCTTATAAATGCAGTGAAACCTTAATTTCACTGCATTTGATGTACTGTGAGAAGATTGTTTTCTACGCTAAAATATCTGAAAAATTGCTTAGAAAATAGCCCGTGTGAGATGCGCTTAAAGGGACTATTTTTGTTGTGCATATCTAAAGGTATATTGTAAAAGAAGAATAAATTTTAAACATTCTTAAAAAAAAAAACGAAATATGATTTGCCATAAAACAAAAAAACTGATTTTAAAAATATCTTTGACTTGATAATCTAATGAAAGTATTCTTATATTGTTAATTGCTATTTTATTTAACTTCTATTAATAGCATAATAATACAAATGCAAATTATTAAATGCCAAGCTAAATAGTCTGATATAATTTTTGATATATGATTTTTAGATTACATTAATTTTTAAATGGCAAAAATTACAAATGAGAAAAATTATGCAGCTGTAATTTTGAGATTATAATAGTAGCTACGAATGCAAATACGCTACTGCATTAAACACATACTAAATATTAAAATATATACAAATTTAATGCAAAACTAAACATTTAAGAAATAATAAAAGTTGAATTAAAGTTTATTGTACATCTACGAAGGAAATTTGAAGGCGTAAGTAGAAAACGGTGAAAAGGCCAAAGGTGCAAAACATTATTGTTTGAAAGGGAACTCCAATTCCGTAAAATTGTCCGGATATTGATGTTATTCTGGGGTTTTTTTGTTTTGTTTTTGTTTTTGTTCTTCTTTACTCTTCCTTTTAAGACCCCTCGTTCTACTTGAGAATCGCTGAGCATTTGTTCCATTAAAATGTTATCCGCTCCCAACCGAAATAGTGGTTAGCGACGCTGACTGCCGTACCGAAGGGTCCAGGTTCGAATCCCGGATGTGGATATTTGTAAATGTATAGTGCCTGTGCGGTATTGGGGCATTCTAATCTAAATACGTGGCGAGCCTAAAGCTCTCTTTTAAGAGATTGATGGGAGAAGAACAAGAGTGGGAGACCCTCGGACGGTTACAGCCGAAAACATCGCGGCAAAAACATCGTGGACGAAAACGTCGCGGAGAAAACAACGCAAGGCGAAAACGTCGTGCTACAAAACATCGTGGGAGAAACACGCAAAGAGAAAACATCGCAGTCTAAACACATCGTGGTACAAAACATCGTCGTCGAAAATAAAAAAGCGATCCAAAAACTTCGCATTGAAAAAAACGTCGTCGTCGAAAATATCGTGGTAAAAAAATAAAGTATCTACAAATCATCGCATGACGATAACATCGCAGACATGCGTTAATAACTGTAAATGGATATCCCATAATGATTTGTGAGAGGCAAGATAAAAGAAGATAATTTTGTTTTCACTTTTTTTATTAACTAATTAATTTTCTGAAAAAGTAAGAAGGAAACTTAAACATAGCAAATTAATGCAACTTATAGCAATTAATAGAATTTTAAACCGACATAGTTAACTACACAAAGGCCATTAATAAATCATTTTTATAAAGTTTTTACTGGTAATTTTTCATTGAAACGGATAATCTATAAGTTGCATTTAATTTCTATGCTTAAGTTTCCTTCTTACTTTTTCAGCAAAAATTTATTAGTTAATAAAAAATGTGAAAGTAAAAATTATCCTTCTTACATTTTGCGCTCACAAATCATTATGGGAATATTCATTTACAGTTATTAAAGCATGTTTTGAAAAAGCATGTCTGCGATGTTTATCGTCATGCGATGATTTGTAGATACTTATTTTTTACACGATATTTTTCGACGACGATGTTTTTAAACTGCGAAGTTTTGAAGCGCTTTTTTTGACGCGATTGTTTACCACGATGTTTTAAGACTGCGATGTTTTCTCTTTGCGATGTTTTCTCCCACGATGTTTTTGTAGCACGACGTTTTCGCCTTGCGTTGTTTTCTCCGCGATGTTATCGGCGGACACCCCTCGGACCCGTCTCCCTTGGATGCTCTCCATCAAAATTGGGGGCGGAACTGAGCAAGGTGCTGAAGACTTTTGCCAACGACAGGCCTAGTCTTGCACTCCTTGCCACGATGAATTTCGTGGGCTTGTTTTGATGGTTATGTCAAGCAAATGAGATAAGACACAACAACAACAAAATTTTATCCTCTGTGATTTGTTTCTGTCTATGTTTTAAAATGCTTTTAAAGCAAGAAATAAAATTATTATTGCAAATATTTATATTACGGCTTTCTACTGGTCTATCAGAGTGATGATGTTCTATGAATCTTTGCACCTTACCCACTTTTGCACAAATTTCGCGGATCAAATACTTAGAAACATTCTTCCTTCCATCTTTTACTTCTAAAAATATTTCCTGCGCTGCATTAATTGTATTTTGGAGTATCGTATTACCGTCTTATTTTTCCGTAGCTCGAAACATCTTTCGTAATCCAAGACTTTTTTCGTTTGAAAGTTTGTTTATGAACCGAATTGTTATAATCCAAGGCGTTCGTGAAGGAAGATTCCACTGTGTTATCAACTTAATCATTTCAATACAATAAGCATTATGTACTTCACCACCGATGGAAATTTAAAACACATTTATTTTCAGCTTAATGATACTGAAGCTGTATTGCAAGACTTTCTGGAGACTATTCGTAATATCAAATGGGATTTAGAGGAAGATGAAGTTCTGGAGACAACAACATACGTACCTTTCATCGAACCTCTGATTATACATAAAAATTTTAATGAAACAAAGATTATGGAACTCACAAATGCAGAAATAGACATTCTCTGTAAACCTGGATCTGTACTTACTGATGACTTATGTGGTAATTATTTTATATAGTAATATTTATCTGGGAAATATTTATGGTTATTATTAAGTATGGTAACTAATGTGTTATTATTAATTTATTTTCTTAAATTAGCAGATGATATGTATAGATTATGCAAATTCCTTTTACTGTTAAGCAAATAAGGCATGTGATAGAAGGTCACGCTGTATGGCTATTATATTCATGCCAACATCAGTCGACTGGTTCCAGAAAAGCAGGACACATATTACGCTGACTTATGTTAAAAGTAATTACGATAATGAGGAGAATTAGAGAACTGGTGAACCAACAGCGTAGACTTTTAATTGGCTGAGTGCTTCATTCGTAATATGAGCGAAGCTATAAGAGGTTAATTTGATAGTCCGTGGATTATCTATACTTCTGTGTTAAAAAAGTTAACAGACAAGTCATTTCACTAAGAATTCCGGAATTCTCAATAAATCTGTATGTTCCAATAGGTACTGTTTCGAAGATGATTAGGTAGTATTTTTTTATATCTCAAATAAAACTACCTTACACATGATTTCAGCGAATATTTTATACAGAAAGATTTTGGATCACTGATAACTCATTCGGAAGCGACTACAAATGCATTAACTGGATAATTTGATTTACGAAATAGTTTTTACTGTGGCTGCGTCCCACGTAATAAACTTCAGTGAAGGAACAATAAATGATCACTGAAAACCTCAGATTTCAGCGCCTGTTTTCTTCACGCACCAAACGATGATCCTTATGATTAGCGATTCAAATAGTATTATCCCAAAATCAATGTTGAAATGGAATATATTCATCTACTTTTTAGTGATTTATTATCTACATTTAAAAATCTATCATCTATTATCCACATTTTAAAAATTCAGATCCGATGAGCGCAACAACTCAGCAGCTATCATACAAAGACATCCAATTACACCGTGAATCTTAGAACCGATATAGTGAACAACTGTATTTCTAAATAAGTACCTGCTACACATACAAGTTATTTGCTGATCGAGTGTTACGTTATGCTGAATTCCATAATTACTTTCTTTTTTTGTGGAATATTCAGGGAGGTTCCAACATGCTGCGATAAAAGTCCAAGTATTTCGTATAAAATCTTCGAATATTAATACATCATATGATCTGATTAAACCATTTTGATGCATAAAATTGACAGCATATAACGAAATGCTCTTCTGAAGAATAAATTTCTTAAAATCTTTAATAATTAATTACTACATTGGTCAAATTTACGAAAGGCTAGAGATATATGTAGTGAGAAATGTTATTACTATACTCTTAACTGATCAGAATTTGAAAATACTATTTTTTTAATTGGGCTAAGCTAAAATTCATACGACTATTTCTGTTTTCTTTCTCTAGACTTCTGCTTGCTCCCAAATGTGACATAAAATACGAAGAGTTCCACATTCCACTTAAAAAGTTTTAATTATTCGAATCTCTTTTAGTGCAGTGTCCCCCAGGAACATTCTACAATAATTCGATCAAAGAATGCTTAGATTGTCCTTTAGGAGAATATCAAGAAAACGAAGGCCAGTTACAATGCAAAAAATGCCCTAGTGGAAAAAGCACGGAACATCGGCGAACCAGGAATGAAACTGACTGTAAAGGTAAAACTTCTAAACATCATGAGATTTAGTGTTTTTGTATTTTGAACAATTAAGGTCTTAAAACAAATTTTTTATTATTTGTTGAATTGAAAATATATATTTTGAAACGAACTGCGGAACTTAATGAAATGTTTCGAATGCTGGTAGCAGAGAAAGAGTCTTAAAGTGTATTAGAATTTTCAAGAAATATCATAGTTTTCAGTTTTATGAGGTATGTATGCGAGGGTATCAGGCAAAACAAATAAAACACATATCTTTCTCCCGTTGATTTCTGAGCATTTTTTAGTTTAATACGGCCATCGTTATAACCCCTACAGTTCCAAAGAAATTATAGAACGGCATGGATTTATCACGATCTAGGCTTCAACGAATCTTTCCCCTTAATGATATATATATATATATATATATGTTTGTTAAATGGTATAGAGGTTTTGCATGCCTTTTTAGTTAACAATTTCATGCAACATTCTTTCACCACCATCACCCCTTTAAATCTCTAAATTGCTGAAATGGTATCGAAAGGCTTCTTTTGAAGCTAGTTTCACTTCAGGGAACAGAACGTTGCCCGAAGATGTCCCGTATGGCGAGTTAAAGGAAGATAAACATTTTTTTTTTTTTTTTTTTTTTTTTGTAACAAACTGAATTGATATTCGAGGAAAATTTTGCTTTTCATTATTCAGTGTTTAAATCCATGATAGTATATATCAATATATAAATCAAATAAAATCTATTTAAATTTCGTTTCGTAAGCAGACGATAAATTACGATAGATTTTTAAATTTCAGGTTGAGATGTGTTAATGATCACTGCTTTATGCTTTTATACTTAATTTGTTTTAACATTTATAAGGGCTTATATGCACAGAAAATCTTAATGGGATATGTCCCAATCTGGAAATTAATATTATCTTATAAATCTTAATTTAAACTATCAAGGTAGAACTTCTATTCATATGATATTAAATGAATGAACTTTATGTCATATCGCGTTTTTTATTGCTGTTACAGATATTTGCCTCGCTGGGACCTATTCGCCTACAGGACTCGAGACATGTGTGGCATGCCCCCAAGGAACATATCAAGAACATTCTGGTCAATACATGTGCGATTCCTGTCCGAATGGCACAACCACCATAAACTTTGGATCTACATCATTAACCAATTGCAAAGGTACATTTTCCAATTCCGTAATTTTTAAACTTACATTTTTTTAACTTACATTTTTGCATTTTTAAATTTTATGTTATCTTGAAAACTGTACTGATTTTTTTTTTTTTTTCTATAAAGCTGAACTCTATTTTTTTACTTCCTTGTACGAAGTATTGTAATCACGAAAAATTTCGGGTATCATATTTTAAAGAAAATACCCATTTCAACCGTTCTCGAGTTCATTTGAGCAATTTTTTGGGGCGACATCTGTATGTACGTGCAGAATAAAAGACACCATTTTCCAAAATGGATTGTAAAATGCATTCAGAAGAGATTTTTTTTCGTGACTTCTCTACGTACGTACTTACGTATGTATCTTGTATAACTCAAAAACGAGTAGCCGTAGAACGTTGAAATTTTGTATATAGGACTGTTACAGCATGTAGTTGCGCATCTATCTCCCTTTTTCGTTGCAATCGGCCGCACCAAAATGTATATAAAATAAGGTAGCTTGGAGAAAGCTGCAACGGACTGGCGGTGATTGTCTGCGTTATAACTAGAGATTTTACTGGGCATCCGGGACGGAGAGACTTGTAGACAGACGTGGCCGAATCGAACATCCTTTTTCTTGCTAAACACGAAGTAATTATCGGAAACATAATTTTGTTCATACATGATCATGGACGCACTACGCAGCCCAAAATTTTATACAAAGTGTCACATTCTAGATAACGGCTACTCAACAGCAGGATAAAGCAAAGGGAGCGAAGTAGCGTCTTCCCTGAAAGATAGCTAAAGCTAAAATGAGTAATTATCCAGTGTGGAGGCTCACCAAGAGAAGATTTTGGTTTAGACTAGAAAGGTTTCAGTTGTCGAAATTTTGAGATCAAGTTCCGAATTAGCTCATGCAAGATGGATTGATCTAGAAATGGCGCAGGCCAAAAAAGTTATTATGATTTTTAGATTAAAGAAGAGGGAATTACGGGGTTACCGGTAGTTTAAATTATAATTTTGATTTACACATTTTTTATCTTACCATACATATATATATATATATATTCCCACCCTGTTACCCAGCTCGGTGAGCTTAATATTTTTATTCTTGTATGTTGGTATATTGTGCATTTTTTGCTTTAAAAGGGTTTGAATAAAGTTGTTCTTCTGTTCAAATACCAACGAACGGGTTGCTGTATGAGTGTCTTCGTAGTTTTTTCTGTTTTTAACGCGAATAAGAGCCAGTTTTTCTTAGCAAACTCTCCACGAAGGCATCCGTGTCCTTAGGCAGATATCCCTTATATGCTGTGTAATAATCAAATAATCCAATCCAATCTATTTCACATTTTAAAATTTAAAAAGCAGCATTAATTAATAAACGGACTAGAAGACTAAAAGATGGTGGCACTGGCTATGATGCGCTGAGCCATTGAAGATTCGATACGGGGAGTTGGAGACCTTTTTAATAGAAAAGTAAGCTAAGTAATATATTAATATTTTATCGTTGTTTGTATTTAATATTGGAAGTCACGGCATGTTGTCTGTTTTAGCTGATGTGAAATACTTGAAATAAAGGAATATGCTACAAGTTTTTCTTGCCTTATAGTTATTCGCAGTTATAACTTCTCTGTAAACCTGTGCGTTCTTTCCCAATGAAATGCTACTTTCTGAGTCTTTGCAAAAAAAAAAAAAAAAAAAAAAAAAAAAAAAAAAATAAATAAATAAAGAAATAATATAAATGATATTTTTCTTTTCAACTATTCCCGTAAAAACGAAAACTCTTGTCAGGATTCTTTCGTCAAAGAAAGAGGTTCCACTTCAGATCTTTTGCAAAAGGAAAATAACATGAATCGAGCTTTTGTTAAGCGAGAATGCATGTAATAAAGCTGTGTGCATTTGCTGCTTAAAATTTCAGCGTGTCATTAAACGTTTTTAACATATATGCTACAATACTTATTTTTAAAAGTGCATTTGGTAAATAATTTATCTTCCATTTTAGATTCCTGTGAGCCTGGATTCTTTTCCGAGAGCGGTCTATATCCATGCCGTTTGTGCCCAAAGGGTTTCTATCAACCTTCTTTCGGCCAGATGGAATGTCTCGAATGTCCAAGTAATTTATCCACGATTTATGAAGGAGCAAAAGAGATATCAGATTGTTTAGGTATTACTATTTAAATAACGTATTTACTAATTAATGATAATGATGCAAAATATTGATTATCTGGAATATAAGATTTTAACGAATAAACTTTCACCACCATTCTATAACAATTAGGATTAAAAATGTAGCAAGTTCGGGATACTTTTTTTGTGTTAGTTAATAGTATTGGTAACATGTTGTAGAGTCATTAGGTTAATTGGAAGCAGGAAAGATGAAAAATTACAATCGCCTTCGCCGGGAATCGAACCACGGACCTCTGGAATACCGGCTCAGCGTGCTACCGTTACACCACGAAGGCACGCTAGGGAAGTGGGAGAATACTTATCTACTGCCTTTCTAAGGGCGACTAGGTTTTAGGGGACCTGTCGCCAAAGACTGGGTGCGGAGAATCATCTATCCAAACCCTTTAGTTCGGGCGCCACTTGTAGAGTCATTAAGTTAATTGGAAGCAGGAAAGATGAAAAATTAACAATCGGCTTCGCCGGGAATCGAACCACGGACCTCTGCATTACCGGCTCAGCGTGCTACCATTACACCACGAAGGCATGCTAGGGAAGTGGGAGAAATACCTTATTATATGATAAAACTATGATTATTTATTTAATGTTCAAATAAGGTAACTGCTTGTCATTAAAGTTATACTGAATTGTAAAGAACTCTTTATTACGAGACTTTTATATGCTGAAAAGACAGAGAGTGTACTCTTTTTCTGACTTGGTGCACCTGCCAGTCAACGTAAAATTACGCTGGAGTGACGACATTATCCCTTGAAGAACTATTTCATAACTGTGGAACAATTTAAAGTTTGAGCTCCAGTATCAGTTTATTCAAATATCAACTTATCCTTTATATTTATACTCATATTTTCGTGAACAGCTTACTGAACAATGATTAGAAACAAGCAACTTTCTATTTTTGTTTTTGTAAATACTATTTATAATTTATTTTAAATTGGAAAGAAGTCGAAGAAATTTGTAATATTTTAGACTGTTTTGCTTTTATGTTATAGATTTAGATCCATGCTTGAATGAAACTTTCTGCTTCAATGGTGGTAGCTGCGTTCGCTCAGGCCGTGAAGGTTACTGCGACTGCAAAAGGGGATTCGAAGGGGAAAGATGCGAAAATGATATCAATGAATGTAACCAGAACCCTTGTTATAATAATGGAAGGTGCATTAACACAGGCAAGTATACTATTTATTAGACATACTTTTAATTTCTATTAACCAAAACTGCAGCATTTGCAAACAATAATTTCACCACGTATAACAATTCGTAATTGTTTTTTATGCTACCGCTTAAGTGTGATGTTGTCTGATTTTCCCATACAAAATATTTTATATATGGATTATTTCTAAAATTTTCATTTATTTCGCTTAAAAAGTGATTATTTATTAATTTTTTCTAGTTATTAGGAAATTTGCTGCAATAAAGATGAATATTCTGTTAGTTGTTAACAAATTTATGAGAACATGCAGTGTAACAGATGAAAAAGTTCAAGCAGACCAATAATATTTAAGGATATTGCTCATCGCAGCCCAACTTCATTTAGCCGCTGTCTCAGTAGCTATTAAAAATATTACGTTTTACCTTTAATAAGCGTCCTTATCATATCCAAAAACAACCCAACAGTAATCATTGCAAAATACACAGCAAAGTTGAAAAAGTGAACAGAATCATCTGAGTTTACTGAACACTTTGCGCAGCATCTGCAGATGTTACTGGCCTATTTGAAAGCTTTTCATTTGTTGCACTGTCTGCTTTCATAAATTTATCAAGAAGGAATCACGTATTCACTTGCTAGAGAAAGGTTTCCGAATTCACCTTAAAATTCGGTTAGAACCGCTTCATATAATAATCGTCTAAAATGTACTAAAACAACAGCTTTTCATTTTTTAAAATCATTGTATAATCGGTTCATGATATCTAAACCAAAACTGAGATTTACTTTTTCAACGGTATGGATCACAACTCCAAATGAGTGTAATACATCAAAGTGTAATACATAAAAAAATTTCAGAATTCAATAACATTGCAGAACGCACAACTTCAGATCACATCAGTGTGGTTCGATCACATCAGTGTGCGAAATGGCAAAAAGCGTTTTTGAATTTTGAGATTTCATCCCTTAATATTAGTTGCCTAATGAACACGTAAATCTCTCTCCCGTTGTGATAAAATGTCACAAGAAAAGTAATTGATGTATAGTTTTAGATATTAATATAATTAATCTTTATGCCAGATTACAGCAAATTTAACTTGCAAGTGAAGTTTAAATTGAGTAGCAGGATGAGAGATAACGAGGGTATGGGCTTAATAAATCGTGCAGATAAATTTAGGTCCATTTAGCAGAAACTTGTCAAATTAGCATCATTGGAATTGCAACCCCGGTTTCACGTGCTACGTGACTTACGTAAATTCGCAGCTATATAAATGCACATAACCCATGACATTCAAATTGAATCCTATCATTCAGTTCCTCCTTTCCCCGACCCCTTCTAGCATTCAAACAACAACCAAACGATTAATGAAATACTATGCAAATAATATATGCATGTGTGTACATGCAAGAATCATATAAGAAGATCAGTTTTGAAATGGCGCAGTTTAAAGCGATTTATTATAAGCAGTTACGATTTTTAGAATTCATAGGGGAAGTAATCAAATTCAAAAAAAGAGTTAAGTTAATTAAAATCAGCATTTTTTCTTACCTACTTTTTATCGTACATAAAAAAAGTTGAGCGGCAGGAGATCCGCTCAACTTTTTTTTTTTTTTTTTTTTTAAAGAGAAAAAATGTTAAAGACAGTGAAAATGAAAAGAAAACACAGAAAACGTACAGTTCAAATGGTTATCAGTTGCATATTAACTTAGTTTACTACATTATAAGGTATTTTTTCCACCTTCTTAGCATGCCTTCGTAGTGTAGTGGTTTGCACGCAAGAGCGTAAAAAACCTTAGCAAATCCTTTTATGCGATAATTAAAATCTGAAATCTTTCTGCTTTCTTTTTTTAAATGGTTAACTCAGACATAATAAATCTGCTCTTGGTGTGAATCACTCAGCAGACATATATATATAACAGGAATGATGCTTAGAATTATTATAATTGTTATAATGTTGCATGTTAGATCCCATTATCTGAGAGAAATGAATAAGGAATACATTAAATGTGCCATTTATTTTTGGTTGTAAAGTATATATTGTAGCTAAATGCACATGCTGAGATATGTATAATACCGGTACAGTGCTTCTGTTCTATATAGTTATAAACTATGATAGATTACATATATATTATTTAAAATAACTTTAAAATAATATCTCATACAGTATAAGCTACATATAACATTCAATATTTATTTCTTAATCTATAAAATATCATGTTGTGAAGTTCTCATTGACATTTTTTGCTTGTATGAATTGTTACAGAAGGACATTTCTTCTGCAATTGCACTGAGGGATTTTCCGGGGATTTCTGCAATATAGAAATTGATGAATGCGAATCTTCGCCCTGTTTGAATAATGGAACATGTATAGATAAGGTATTTTTAAAAGTTTAATAAGAAAAATTATTCGAATATGTGAATTTTTAATGTATTATAAATCGGTTAATCAGAATATCGCTTTCTTTAGCTATCCTTACGGAACTTGAATTAAAAATTTCATTTGTTTGAAAAAAAATTTATAAAAAGAAAAATCCCAAATTCGATGAAATGCCCACAGCCTTTTTTTCGTATGACAACATTTTGTTTGCCTAAAACCTGCAATGTTCTTTAGGAAAGTCTTCACTTCTGGTATCAGACTATTTCAAGGCAAATGAATTTCGCGATAGTCATGCATCAACAGTTAGGGCTCACAACCACGTTCATAACATTGACTCAATTGCGAAGTTCCAAGTTCCTCTTTAAGCCGCGATTAGCACGCAGTAATTACGTGCTGCGTTCCGGCTATCTTGATTTAAATGCTTCTAAGAGCGCGCAGGTGGAAATGCTGAGCTGGGGTGAGAGCTGATGTAGACCGGGGTGTGACCAAAGTCACGTGAATGAGTGAGAGAATCTGATGGTGTTGAAGTTTCGTCGAAAAGTACATATAATAAACAGAAAAATATAAAATAAAATGCAGAATAAAAATGAAAAACATATTAGGTAATATAGATTATTACATATGTAATCGTTCAGGAGGCTTAATGCAAAAAATACGCGATAGCGGTGGTGCACAGTCACGTGGATGCCACCCCAGTGCTGGCTCTGATGAATGTGCTCGTTTTGGAATTAAATAGTTACTAAATGAAATCGATAGCCATACGTAGGAAAGTTGAATTCATTCGGATAAAAGCAGCAAAAGGCGGGGATGTCGTCTTAGTCTAGATTCCCTAATGAGTAGATTATAGAAATCAGATGGTCACAGTCTTTAGCTTCCTGGAGAATTGTCATTTTTGTGCGTAAAAGTATCTCGGGCTCGATTTGAAGTCCCTGGGAGTACTCGTCCGCAATAAAGTAATGGCACTATTATCAGCCTTTAGAAAACGATTGCAAACTGAGATTGTTTTAGTCACAGAGTCCGGTGGTGAGGCACGTCTGATAGGACGAATAGCGGAGAGATAGATTAATCTCGTTTGGAAAATCAATTTGAAAGAGTCTAACATAGGATATAAGCCTTTCATTAGAAGATGATGTATGTCACATTATAATGTTTAGTCATGCATTGACTATTCAAGTAACTTCTAAGTAATAGCAGTTTCCACAAAGTCTGGGTCATTAAACAATGGGAGTTGCCTTTGAGGTTCTTTTTATTTTATTTTTTTGAGGAGTAGTTGAGAATGGAGGATTAATGTCTTCCACTTTTGGAAAGTCTTTAGAAGGGATGAGGTCTTGGAGTATTTAACGAATGATTCACATTGCAGATTCACCGCCAAAGCGTGTCGTCGGCGTACAAGCTAAAATGAGATTAATGCTATAGAGTACAGAAGGGAAGTCTGCCGCAATAGAAGGATAGAAATTGGACCTAAAACACTTCCTTGGGAATTCCACTGTGAATTGGGCGTTCTGAAGAGAAGGCACCGTGAACAGAAACTACGAATTTTCTGCTGGTGATAAACCAATTGCGAAGACCAGTCACGTCCTTTTTTAACGCACATCCGTGCATGAGAAATAGGCCGGCAACAAATCAGTGTGTGCATTAACAAGATGAGATTATATTGGCACCAGGAATGCATTTTCGGCTTGTGAAACGATATGTGATTTCTGTGCAGTCGATCTCGGTTGAATCTTAAAACATTGAGAAAAAACTACAAGGTCAGGTCGCAAACTTGGTGCAGTTATCACCTTCACTGTAAGTTGGCACCGAAAGGCAGTGCCATCTAATTATCGAGCAAAGGTTAGGCATCATAGTGATATATGCTTAATTCGAATAATCCAAATTACAGAGCTCAAGAAAGATGCTTGTAATAAATAATATCATGAATCTGCTTTAAATGAGTACAATTGTAATAAAAATAGAAATTATTTTTATACTTCAAAAAACAACTTCAATACAAGGTCTAACTTTAACTTGTTAGTTTAAACTGTATTGCTTAATATTTTGCCCGCCGATCTATTGAGACTATAGGGTAAGTCAACACATTTTCACCGAAACTTAACAGCTCTTCCGTGAAGATCAAACATTCAAACAAAACAGAATTTTTTATAACAATCAACTTGATTTGGATGTGCACACCTGGAACTGTTCTGCAATGGACTGTCAGATAAATTTCGAAATTACCGCCTATCAGCCGAAGATTACTTAACTAAATTTGGCAGCGAGGGTATAGGAGAACGTAACACACACCAATTTCTCTTCAAGTGCAAGATAAAAATATAAAATCAGTGAATATGCGATATTCGTGTATACATTCCTAATTTTTAGTTGCGAATACCTGGCTAGGAACATTCTACTAATTTTTATATTGTACACTGGTTTGCAAAACTTAAGCAACAGCTGTTCCTTTTGCCATAACTCCAGGAGAAATTATCTGAGAGACAGCATTTTATGTTTAAACGATGACGAAAGCATAGTTGCGCGGAAATAAATACAATGCCTACAGTATGGAATCAGACAAAAACAGGCTTCATTGAACTCATGTATGTTACCATGACTGTAGTACAAGAGAAACCAACAAGCACTGTACTAGTATGGAGATGCCCCCCTTACTGCAAGGTTGCTCGCACGTCTCTCCATATCAGCAACGATTGTCAGCAGATCATGGGTAGAGTCCCATTCACATCAGCCTCGATTTCGTGTTGGTTTCCCGGAGGATGTAATCGTGCCGCAGGCGTCTCCCAAAGCTCATACCGTTTATATGGGATTTAAAAAGGATGTACCTGGCCAGCATTCGAGGATATCTCACTTCCAGTAGTTTACAACAGAGGAGTCGGTGCATTGTCATCCATAAAAGCAAAGTCGCTCCATGCCCCCGGAACAGAGCACATGGGGGGGAAGGCTCACCTGCTGCAATAGCGATCTCGGTACAGAACCTCTGTCGAAAAAGGAGCTCGTCATCAGGCAGCATATGCTCTCAGGGAGATCTCTAGGACGCAGTAACGGTTCTTACGGATGTACTGGGATGAAATCTGTCCTGACCTCTCTCAAATCAAATGCGTGAGAATCGAATGTGGCACTAAACCTCTCATCGTAAGGAGGACACGACTCCATGATGAGAGTGTAGTTTTTGTCCTTGCACCTCTCTAAACAGGACGGCCGCTAACTTCAAAGGAATGCAGAGTTCAGAAGGCGGACGAATAGGTCTGGACCGTAGTAAATCGGGGCACTTAGCCCTTGCTGAGCTGTGGCGATTGATGAATGGTTTGGGGTCTTTCGCTGTAGGACATTTTATAGGCCATCCATGCAGTGTTTTCCTGAAACAGCCACCAAACTTTAAATGCGTACTCTGGTGTAGAAGGCTCCCAGGAGGAGAAAACGACACTTTTGATCCGATTCAGCCACACAAGTCACATAGCCCCCTCCAGCGTTCCGATCTTTTGCACGTGGCAGTCATCCAGTGATTTTCTAGCCTATTCACGAAAGAAATCCTCGCACTTGCGCGAATGTCTTTAATTGCGACCCCGCCTTCCTTTTATTGTATCTTGAGCGCGCCCACCGCACGAGTTTTGCTTACGCTCAGCGCCTGTACGTTTTGTTCCGAATTGATACGCATGACCTTTCTACTGAATTGCGTGTTCATTGTACTGATCGCAATAACCTCTTTTCTGCAATTTCATGGCTTAAATTTACATTGTTGCTTAAGTTTTGCACACCAGTGCAAATGCAACCTTGCGCTAATTGCCATAAAACTGAAACATTCCGCTTTATTGCGCTATTTAATAAAATAAATTTCAGTAAAATGTTTTTCTAATAAAATACCCGTAAATTATATATCTTAATAATTTTTTTTTTAGAATTTTTAAAATCAGTTATAAGGTATTTCTCCCACTTCCCTAGCGTGCCTTCGTGGTGTAACGGTAGCACGTTGGGCCGGTATTCCAGAGATCCGTGGTTCGATTCCCGGCGAAGGAAGTTGCATATTTTTCATCTTTTCTGCTTCCAATTATCCTAATGTCTCTACACAGTTATTATCATAAAATTGCAATTTTTTCTTCAATAAAACCAAGTTTCTCTATAACTTGAAACGACACAACTTGTAAAAATAATGGAAAACATAGCTCAAAATATTAACAAAATTAGAGAAGTAAATGAAAAAACATTACTGAATGCATTTCGGTGATATTAACCGCACTTTGGCTATTAACAAAGTTTTTCATTTCATTTTCTGATTGCTAAAAATGGAATTACAATAAATACTTCCAAAATGTATTCTATGCTATTTTTATTTATTTCTCAACCACTTTTCTAATATTTTATATTTTATTCTAACCATTTGTAGTGAAATTATACAGGGTTGTAAAAACATCAGGTAATTTTTGGAAGCAGAATATATAAAAAATTACCAACGCGTTCGCCGGGAATCGAACCACGGACCTCTGGAATATGCGCCCAGTGTGCAGACCACAACACTACGAAGGCACGCCAAGAAGGTGGGAGAAATACCTTACATACTCTCCCTTTCAAATGGCGACTGGGGTTTCTAGAGAACCCAATCGCCAAATCCTGGGGTGGGAGTATCATACCATCATTTTAGTCGGCGCACTTGTAAACATAGTAATTTTGGAAGCAAAGAGATGTAAAATTAGCAACGCCTTCGCCGAGAATCGAACCACGGACCTTTGGAATACGCGCCCAGTGTGAAGACCACCACACCACGAAGGCACGCCAAGAAGGTGGGAGAAATGCCTTATAGGGTGCCTCAAAAGGTCGTTGCAAACTTGCTGCTGGTCTGTACTGTGACAAACAAGATTTACAAAGGAACATGTGTCCGAAAATGTCAACTGCAACCACTAGAGGGCAATGTTCGCAGGTTCATGGGAAAGTAGAATCAATAGAGATCAAATTTAGAGTGTCCCATGCAGCACGTACACTACACATTTACAAACAGCCATGCCTTCTCGAACCCGGGCCATTCGAACCCGGGCCCTTCGGCACTGCACTTAGAAGCTAACCACTATACCGGTGGGACGGCTGATTGGTAGCGAAAAATTAAAATTGACGAAATTTTTTTTTCCTAAAGGGCAATGAAAGTTAGAAAATAGTGTATTATCTGGAGTAACAAATAAAAACTATTAATCATGCTATGTTTAGAACTTTTCAAAAGGTTAATAGTTAAAACATTAAACCCAGATGATTAATGAGTGCCGAACATATGTCTTATTCTGTCTGCCATCATGTGACTCAAACCGCTGTTAATTAATTTTTCTCAAATTCAAAATAATATTTCTAATAGTCCCATAATGCCAAGAACTACCATGATGTGTCTTTCGAGACCTTATTAATTACAAGCAAAGGAAAAAAGTAAATTCTGAATCCAAGTAAATTGAAATGCAAAAATTACAAAAACATAATTTTCATAAAGATAAAAAATCTAGAATTTTTAAACACTAACTCCTTGAAAAGTTCTATTTGAAGCCTCAAGTATAGGGGGATTAATAGTCTTTATCTGTTATCCTACATTTTTTCTAACTTGAAGTGCCCTTTAGAAAAAAAAGATTTTTCTTTCCCTCCGTCTAATTTTTTCACTACCAGTTAACATGAGACAATTTTACTGCCTAGAAAATTTTCCTCAGATAGGATAATCTTTTACAAAAATTTCTTTTTGTAGTAATTGCTTATATAATAATGTACGAATGAATCACATATTATTTCATTATAGGTAAATGGTTATCTCTGCGTGTGTCCTACAAGTTTTCTTGGAACTTCATGCGAAATAGAGCAAGAAATTTGCTTCCGAAATATTCCTTGTTTGAATGGCGGAGTATGCATCTTCCAACAAAACGGTACTGAATCTTACTGTGAATGTCAAGCCGGTTTCATGGGAATTGATTGCTCAATCAATATCAATGATTGTGAAAATGTTGTGTGCCAGAATAACGGGAGGTAAAATATTATTTTTCATGTATTAAAAATGTTTCAGCATTCTTAACAATCGAAATGGAAAGTACGTAGCTTGCACAAATTGCGACAATTATTAATTGTAACGTAAAAATAACACTGCTATCAGATGAGCATTCAAGAGAGATAAGAATTTTATTAAAGGGAGAAAACCCCCAAAAAGGCCCATGT